ACCGCACAAGCGAACAAGCAAAATCTGGACAACAACTCATTTGAAAAACTAACTCCCAACCTATTCCAAATGCAACAATAACTTGTAAACAACCAAACTCAACTAGCAACAAGGTAAAAATGAAATGAACAATAGCTAAGGATATGGATTCCTGGATTCAAAAGCAAGAAATTAGTCGGGTCAAAATTGGAATCATTATAGTTGTGCCTTTAGGCCAGTACTTCCACAAAATATAAAGTACCATACTAAAGACAAATTGTTCTTAATGGCTAATGGGTGTGCAAAAGGTTGTGATTCTTTTACCAATTTTCAGGAGATAATGTTACAAGAGAAGTACAACTCGTAGATAGCATTATGAAGAGTTTCGAGTGAAATTCTGTCAAGAAATGAAAGTGTGCAAGTTGATGCGATCAATTTATAGTCTCAAGCAAGCATCTCAAAAAAATATAAACTAAATTCTAAAAATGAATCTCCTAAAAGTATTCACCATGTCTGGTTCCATTTTTTGAACTCAATTTTTAGGATAATTTAGAGTTTTTGTTTGGTTAAGTCCAAAAATTTTATAAAAAAATTCCAAAATCCAATTTTTTGGATGCATTTGGGAAAAAGAAATATTGTCTTCTTTATATCAAGTGGTTAGATGTTTGAGTAGGGCCGATTGAAACCTAAAGCAATTGAAGTAATGGTTTTAGGCCTCAATTGCAAAAAGGCCCCAAAATTTTCATATATAACCATAAGTCAAATACAATTCAATTGTTTCTCATAAAATCTACTTTGTTAAAAGTCTCCACAAAACCAACACAAGAAAAAAGGAAAAAGATATACTCTCATGAGCATAACACAAGTTTTCAAATTTTGGTAAAAACGTCCATCAATTTTGTATATGTTTGTCATATACACACTTTTTTTCTTTTTTTCTTTTTTGTTATAAATAAACGTTCACATTGAAAAGGACTCCATAAATTTTAAAAAACTTATAATATATCATTTTAAGAAAGCTCACTTTAAAAGAGGCCCCCACCAATTTAAAATAGGTTCTACAAACTTTTCTTAGTTTTCGCTTTGAATTTATAAGTTTTATTTATTTGAAAACTTTTGGCACCTTTAATATCTTTCTTTTTTTTTTTCCATTGCTAAATATTTTAAATAACTTCCAAATTTTAGTCAAGAGAATGGAAGAGACATATAAATTTTACATGATATATAATTTACTAAAAATAATACATATTATTTACATTTAAGTTTAAAATATAAAAAACCTAGCAATAAAATTTTGCTTTTGGCCTCATGGAGACTTAAGCCGGCTTGGTGTTTGAGCATGCATCTAATGACTCCTACTTGCCTCAAACAATTGTCTATTTCTTTCTTTATTACATCTCACCAAATCAAACTTCTTCCTCTTCGGTGGTTCTACTTTTTTATGCGACTTGTTCTGTTTTTAATTTTTATTTTTATTGGTGAATCGTTGTTGTACGTTGACCTGAAATCTAAGTAGCGCTCAATCCTGTTTTTGGAGGGACTTTTGAATTTAACTTACAAAATTAAAAAGAGTGGAACAACCAAACAATGGTCACTTTTTCAAAAACACTTTTCAAAATAAAATTCTGAAAATTAACTCAAAAAAGTTGAACCAAACATTAGCCTTTTAATTGACGCTTCTTGTGCCACTTGGTTGGTTGCTTGGATACACGCTCAAACACCAAACATTTTGAAACACTCTCAAACATCCAACACCAAAAAGTTGAACCAAACATTAGCCTTTTAATTGCCGCTTCTTGAACCAAACATTCTGAAAATTTTATTTTTTGTTATAAATAATCATATTTGTGATTGTGTTAATTGGATGTAATTATCTTATTTTTGCTATAAATTGACAAAAAAATAAAATAAAAATCACTTTTTTATTTTATTTTGGAGTTATAGAAGGTCAATTAAGATTTATTTTTCAATATACTAATAACTTAAAGACTCAACAATGATTGATGGTGGATGGTTGAGAGTGGCGACAACGGTAGCAATTTCTAACAAGGCGAAAAAAGTGTGGCTAAATAGGGTTTTAGGTAAAAGATGATGATCAAGTAATGAGAACAGAAAATAAGGGCATTTTAAAAAATTACTTGAGAGATATAATTGTAGTTAGAAAAATTAAAGAAATGGTGTGAACTTAAGTTATCAGCAAGTAGAAGCTTGAGAATGTACATTATTTATTTTGAATTTTTTTTTACATTAATACTCCATTTGTTTCAATATACCTACTTTTTGTTGTTTAGTTTACCCAAAAAGGAAGTAAAATATTTTTATTATAAAGTGTATAATGATTTATGTTTAAAAATTTCGTAAGTTTTTTTTTCATTTTTTCTTATCACGATTAATACTGCTTAACATACATGTGAAGCCTCACTATTTTTATATACACTGCACGTATTTGTTCTCTCTATCGCTCTCTCTCTTTCTCTCTCTCCCTCTCCGTGTATGTATATACTGTACATATGATACATATATTATTGTTGACTGGAGTAATTGATCATGATTAGGTTTTGGAATTGTTATTTTTGTTATTTTCAATCATTATTATTTTATTATTGAGTAATAATATACAAACAAAATTTGTGTACAAAAAAATATATATAATGATTTGTCACATTTATATTCATTTATTGAAAATCAAAATTTTCATTACTATAATTCATTATTGTAAGAGTGTTATTGCCATATCAGATATGTGTTCAATTACATATAAAAATTATGTATGAATATCATGTCTTTTATTCTTTTTATTTGAGGAGTTTATAATTAATTTGAGAAAATTGTTAAAAAGTCTAATCTAGCAATTGCATAAAACATTAGGTCCAATGGATATTTTTTGTTGGTGAGAAATCCATGCTTTGTGAAATAGTTTAGTGAGAAGTATATTTTGTTTCCAATTTTACCCTTACTTATATGTTGAAATTTTTTTTATCTGTTCAATTTTCCGTGTATGTATATATTGTACATATGATACATATATTATTGTTGACTTGAGTAATTGATCATGATTAGGTTTTGGAATTGTTATTTTTGTTATTTTCAATCATTATTATTTTATTATTGAGTAATAATATACAAACAAAATTTGTGTACAAGAAATATATATATAATGATTTGTCACATTTATATTCATTTATTGAAAATCAAAATTTTCATTACTATATAATTCATTATTGTAAGAGTGTTATTGCCATATCAGATATGTGTTCAATTACATATAAAAATTATGTATGAATATCATGTCTTTCATTCTTTTTATTTGAGGAGTTTATAATTAAATTTGAGAAAATTGTTAAAAAGTCTAATCTAGCAATTGCATAAAGCATTAGGTCCAATGGATATTTTTTGTTTGTGAGAAATCCATGCTTTGTGAAATAGTTTGGTGAGAAGTATATTTTGTTTCCAATTTTACCCTTACTTATATGTTGAATTTTTTTTTATCTGTTCAATTTTTTCAAACTTATTTGTTTAAATTTATATCTATCTGTTCAATTTATTCCCTATTTGTTCTATTTTTTTTATCTTTTTTGTTCAAATTTTGATCCTAACTGTTGAAATTTTCTTTGTGTGATTTTCTATCTATTGAAATTAATTGTCCAAATTTTTATCTATGCAATTTTTTATCTGTACAAAATTTTCACCTTTAATTTATACCAGAGATGAAAAATACTAGAGATGTTTACTGAGATTTGTTATCTGTACAAAAACAACCACAAGGACAAGCATTTAATGTCAAGAAAGTAGGTCAAAGGGGAAAAAACCAACAAAAACTTGTTCGATCCATTGCAAACTCTCTCAGACTCGACGATAGTGATCCTAATTATGACAACAACAACAATTGTGATAAAATCCTCTAAAACGTTAATGCCAAGGACGATTAGAATCATTAGTCTGATCCATCATCACTATCCGCACCCAAACAAGGCATCAAAGAAGACCTATTGGAGCTTACCAAAACCCTTATTCGCCAGCCATGGATGTCGCATCATTTCTCGTTTCATTGTTTCAATCTCTGTCCATTACGCTGTTACATATCTCTGATTTGACTCCTCAATTAATGTCAGATCTAGATGTCTCTGATGTGGCGGAGATTGATTGAATACGCGGTGACTTTGTGAAGTAATCTCATAGCACTGTTGTAGAAGAATGAGGTTGGAGAAATCTATACAAACCTTAGATTTGTCATTGGAAGACCAATCGCTCAAGCTATTGTAGGTGGTGGTGGTGGTCAAATCTATTCAACTCGGTAGATCGACAGCAATGGAGCTCAGAATCATCAATGAAGAAGATAAAAGTAAGAGAGAATAGAGAAAGAGAAAGTAGAGAGAGACCAACGGGTGACAAATCGGTAGCAATGAAGGTGGTGATGGTCAGTCGGCAGCGAAAAAGATGAAGAGCGTTAATGGATTACTATTATTCAAAGCCTTCATAACAGAGCTTTAATGGTGTCTTACAAAAAAAATACTAGAAAAAGGTTTTAGAGAGAGAGTTTGGTTTGTTTCTACCTAGGGATGGCAATGGGGGTTAATGAGGTGGATATTAATTCCCCATCTCCATTCCCCTATAATAAATTTTTCCCATTCCCCATGGGTACTACCCTCTCCATCTCCTAATGGGTTTAGATTTTCCCCAACCCAACTTGACCATTTTTTTTTTTAAAAGGTTCACAACCAAGGCTAAATATACATACAATCTTATTTTATTTTATTTGGTTCAACAACAAAATCAATTACACATTAATTAATTAATTAAAAAGTTTGCTTTAAAATAATCAAATATATAATTTTGAGACAATCAAATAATTTTTTAATAATTAAAAAAAATATGGAAGAACCTGTTTGAAGAAAGTGTTATATGACCTAGATTAAATTGCATCAGGGCATAAACACGGAATTGTTTGCTGATCTCTACCAACCAACACTAATACAGAGATACCCATATTCATCCCAACGGTAGCGCACACAAAAATTAAAAAAAAAATTGTCACAAACCAAAATGCATAGCAAAGATCCTAATGACAGAACCAACAAAATAATGTCAAAAAAACTCTCTACCAACCAAAACCCACATATGGATAACTTGTATGTCAAAGTATTTATCTGTGTAATTCTAAACATCATAAATGAATTGCACAAAATTATTAAAGTATTTAGATGTTCATAGTAAAGCTTAATTCAACTAGAAGCAAAACACACTGAACTCCCAATGCACATTCTTTGACATTTCAGCTCCCAATTCAACAAAGTGCCTTCTTTGACATTTCAACTCTAATTTTTTACAAGTTTCTTACAGTAGCAACACTCCCGCAGCAGCAACATTCTAACAGCAGCAACGCTTCGGCAACAAAACCTACACAAGGATAATAAAGATCAAAGAAAAAAATATTTCTGGACTTTGATTCACATCCATACTACTAAAAAAAGCACTTTTTGCGACCGCTATGAACCGTCACAAATAATAAAAAAAGGTCACAAAAGACCTTTTGCGGATAGCCGATGAGACAGCAAATGAAGGTCGTGAATGTGGGGATGACAAATACTTTTTGTGACGGCAAAGCAACGGTCGCAAATTATTCAAGATCGCCTAAACTACTTATGGTGACCGCTATTTTGCCGTCACAAAAAACAAAGAAAAACACACTAACATGATTTTTGGCGACTATCTTGTTACCGTCGCAAAAAAAAATAAAAAATAATATGGATGCATAAAAGTGTAACATTAAGCAATCCAGGAATAACAATGACAAGAATTCAAACAGTATAACTTTGTAATTTAATCATGCATTCCATTTGAGTCTCAAAATTAGAGCCATATGTGAAAGTTATTACAACTAAAAACTTGGAAAAAGTTCTTTTATGCAAAAAAAATACAATCTAAATAGAATGCTAGCAAAGTCAAAATCTACAATGCTAGTGTTCACCACTGTACAAGGTACCGGTTGAGTTCCAATTTGTTACCATGGAGATATATGTTCCTCAAATCCAAGCTTGCACCTGATCAATACACATTATGAGGGGGAATAGATCAGAACACAGAGTACCCAATTTCTAGATCTTTCTTTAGATATAAAGCCTCAATCAGAGCAGAGAAAAGGCAGAGATTGCAAAGAAATAATGAAAACTTAATAAACATTGCAAAGAAATTATGAAAATCAAAATAGACAGTCAGAACACAACCCAAGTGCCATTTACAATTTCAAACACTAGATATGTACCTATAAAATAACTACCAATTTTTTTCCTGAATGTAGGATTCTTGCGTATGTCATTCTGCAGCAATAATATCAACATTAGTATATTTTTTAATCACTAAATGCTGAGCATATTATAACAAACATCTTAAACTGCAAAATTGATAAAACTCAACCCAATACTCTAAAACATACCAGCCCACATATACCTAAATCAACCCACAACAACTGCTTTAGCAACTGGAATGAGAAAACCAAACAAACAAGTAGAGCATGAAGGCAGCAGAATAAAAAAAACATATATATTAAAAAATTCAAATCCAATGGAAGTTGGCATGTTTAACCTTATCATATGAACCAGTAACAACCAAGTCACCCTCAGCTACAAATTTAACACTTGTAACCTGCAAAATGAGCAGAGGAAAAAGAAGAGACAAGTGTGCTTAGCTAAAAGATTTTCGTAAGTAAGTAAATAAAACTCAAACAATAAACAAAAGAAAGGAAAGCACTAGACCTTCTTTGAATGACCATTAAGTACAGATAAAATCTCTCCCGATGGCCGATCAAAGAGTACAACACGTGTATCAGCCCCACCTGTTGCTATAATATCCTACACACCACCAAAGAAAATGCTTAATTCTAATACAATAGTATCCTGTCCAGCAGCCTTGTACCTCTGAAAAAGTGGATTGACCACAAAAATTTAGTAATGAAAAGTAAATTATAATAGGGGGTATTATTACTATCTTTCAAGAATAGATAATTTACAAGAAATGACTTCAAATAAGATTTTTCTTTTGTTTATTTGTGGCATATGAAAGTTCATTTCTCAGCAATGTTGTTCAAAGTAACAGAATTTTGTTTAACAAAGCTGAATTCCAGACCCAAGTCATTAAGAAAATATGACAGATCTCTTAATGATGACAACCCTAATAGTATTTACAAGCAACAAACAATTTCACAATAAATCTGATTACATCCTTCATCATTGTGGAAATTAAAAGCACTAGTATCATAGATGTTGGCAGTTTTATTGTTTGGCACAAAACTGACCAAGACACGAATAGGCAGGATGAAAGCACATGCAAAAAATTAGCATTTAAAGAACTGACCGCTGCTGCATCAAACACATAAAATTTCTCCCATGTAGGACATGAAGTGTCTTTGGGCCAACTTCCCCCATTCAATAGCTTGTTGACAATACGGATATTTGCAAAAGTTCCTCTTGCCAACTTAATAATGATTTTGACCTTGGAACATTGCTAATTCTATCAAAAATCTACACCTTTTCCCTAAAAAATAAGTTGACAATTCTATTTTATTTCGTGTAGGACTAGTCAAGTAAATAAACAAACTACCAAATTAGGCAGTGAGAGAAATGACATATATAATAGAGAAATATCAGGGAAACCATTCTCTCAAGCACTAAACTTGCAAAGATGCTATCACAAACAAGGATCTGAAGGAACCAACATAATTTTCAGAAGGAAAGAATCAGGAAGCCTTATAGAAATATCAGAAAGAGGATGTTCTTCCAAATTTGTCAAGTAGATGTTCTTCTTAACTTTTATCCTAGAAATAGACAAGTCATATAGCTCAAACATCAGCCACTATAATACCAGTATGTCATTCATAGCAATGGGTTCATTCTTTCCAACTATCCTAGCAAAATATTATTGTGTAAAAAAAAAAAAAAGGAAAATAGAGAGTGGGGAGAGAGAATTCAAATACTACATGACCAACCATAAGTAGTAAACATAGCAATCTTCATCATGCCTTGGTTCTGAGTCATGCTTAATTTTTTTTTTCTTCAAATTTTTTCCATATTGTCCATCTCTCCCATACACTAGCCATGAGAATGAAACATCTCTTGTAGGTAGATTATCAAGCAATAAATTCATGAAGATGAAACATCTCTTGTAGGCAATTTATCAAATATATGAACATCAATCAATTTTACATATTTCACATACATATCAATCCACAAAATCCAGACATATACTTCAAACTCCAAACCAACAATTAATGCATTCGAAGATGAAAATCTCTCATATTATGACACAAATTAAACAAAAAAAAAAATCATTTCCTTCAATACTGAAAGAAGCAAATTTAAAGAGGGCACATGAGATGAAAATAAGGTTTATAAATTTCAAATTGACAAGAATGAGAGAGAATTAGAGAGTGAAACAAAATAATAATAATAATAATTGCAAAATTACCTCATAAAAGCTTACAGCTCTAATTTGCTTTCTGCTACCTCAGAAAAACTAATTTCCCATTCATCTTTGTTGAAATTTGCTGCAATTAACCACAACATCAACAATAACCAACACATTAATTGTATTTTAAATGAACAAATTTATCAATAAACATTGCATTCAAACTACAAAAGTTAACAAATTGAAATCAATTCCCAAACAATGAACAAAAAGCTAACAAAGAGTTGTTTAATACAAATCTAAACAAGATCAAAACTTGAATAAACATGTAAACAAATAAATTAGAACTTACCTCTAATGAGAAAGTTAGGGTTCTTTTCTTTCAGGAGTCGATTTTTCCACTGTTGCTGATCAATGATTGGATCATTCAAGAACTTGAAAACGAAATAAGGATGATTATTCAATCAATACATATAGATACATACATAAATTCATATATATACTTGTATAGAGACCTTTTTAGGAGAAGAAAAATTATTCAAAAAAAGTATAGATAATGTGTACGCAGAGAACGAGATTGTGCCAGAGAGACAGAGATCGAGAGAGACACTCAAAGATCGACAGGGTGAGAAAGAGAAACAGAGACAGAGATGAAAATAGAGAAGACCGAGATATATATATATATAGAGAGAGAGAGAGATTCATACCGGTATTCTTTAGACGACGATGAGTTGGCGAGAGAAATAGAGCGATGTCAAGAGTTTGAGCGAGTCTAGCTTGGGCAAAACTAAAGGAAAGGATCAAATAAATAAAAGAAAATAGAACAAATAAATTGGGATTTATATTCCTATGGGTGAATGAGGCTTTAAGTCACTCATAAATTGGGTTGCTTCTCATATTATGTTGTGGCCATATATATTTTGCCACAGTTAAATAGGCTGTCACAAAAGATTAGACGAAAAAAGTCAATTTTCTAGTAATGATATACTGAAAGACAATGTATAACATGTAAAAAGATCCTACCATGAAAGTTTGAGCCGTCCAACAAGAGAAATGCAAAAGAAAGATCAACTCTAACTCACATCCATCTCATCATATATAGTAGCGTAACCAACTGATTCCAATGTTGAATTACCTGAAAAATAAGAAAAGAAATTAAGTACTAAGACGATTCAATGAAAATATATTTATTTTAAAAATAATTACATATTGATTTATTTAAATACCTTGCATCTCTACAGCCCACAACCAACTCTGTGCACACATTAATGTTTCCAAAGTATCTGGATGAAGTCTACTCCGACACGGGCTACCAACCTACCACTAGTGCTAAATGCAGACTCAAAAGCAATAGTGGATACTAGAATAGCTAAAAAATCCCTAGCTATTGCCTATAAGGTTGGATACTTCGATGCATTTGATTTCCACCAAGCCAGCACATCAAAAGTAGGGGTTCTTGTCACAACATCCTCTTCTAAATAATGATCCAACTATGATGTTACATTGTTGACTTTTTTTCTTCGCTTTCAACTAATAAACAAATCATAATCTGAAACTACCTGTGAATCCCCAAAATTTGAACTCGTAAAAGATTCAACATTAGCATCAGTCCCCAAACTAAGTTTTCTTTGATACTCTTGCAACAAAGCATAACAAAATTGGTGAATCTTCGCAATTTCCTCTTCAGTTGTATCTCCATAAAGTTTATCAAAATAAAACTCCAACACACTAAGTTTGTACCTAGGATCAAGTACAACAACAACTCCTATAAGACCATGTATAACAACCTAATATTTATCCGACTTTTCCAACATTTTTGAGGCCACTGATCTAACCACATCAATTGAACAAGAGCGCCATTGAGAGTTTGTTATCATAATCTCACATAAATTTGGAAAAGCAACATTGGTCATGGGATATTTAGTTCCAGAAAACAATTCAATTGCTTTATAAAATATCTTGAACCTCTCACAAATTTCTCTAACAAACTCCCACTCCTCCTCACTTGGCAATGTTGTATATTGGGTCTCTTTATATTTCAAGCGGTAAAATACATCCTTATACAACAAGGCAGTTTGAAGCATCAAGTACGTTGAATTCCACCTAGTTGCACAATCAAGTCCTATCTTTTTAGTATTCAAGTTTTTTACTTGACAAGCTGTTTCTTCAAAATTTTCTACTCTTTTAAGAGTTGTTGTCCAATAAGCTACACTATCCTGAATTTTCTCTACACTTACTCTTATCACATCCAATCCATCTTTGATAATCAAATTGAGAACATGTGCGCAACAACGCATATGAAACAAAGTCCCACCCAAAAGAAGAGAATTACTATCCAATTTATCCAACAAAATGTTAATCATCGCATCATTGATGGAACAATTATCAACAGTGATGACAAATACTTTTCTATTAAGATCCCAATCCATCAAACAATTGAGCAAAATATCACAAAGAACTTCTTTTGGGTGTGGACATGGAACATAAAAGAACTTAAAATCATAAATTAAAACTTAAATTAAAACAAAATTTCGATTAACAAAACATTATGAATAGCTTCCATTGTAATTGTCCAACACCAAAAGCACATCAAGACATGTTTTTAGTAGAATGCATATGATATATGATGCAACAATAATTTGTAATAAAGCATAGATTAATTTATATGCAAAAATATACCTCAAAATACGGCTTTGCAATGACCAAGAATCATCAATAAAGTGTGTTGTGATTGTTAGGGAAAATATATGATTCCCCACAAGTAAATCAATAAATGGGAATAAAAACTAATGCGGAAATATTAAATCAAAAGCAATACAAGAATTTTGCGTGGTTCTCTCAATGTAAGATACTTCCACAGGATCGAAATCCGATTCCACTATCAACTAAAAAGTTTCCAAATGATTATAAATGAGACACGAATGGTCTCATAAACCACCCTTAAGTGAATTCCAAATAATCACAAATAATCAAGAGGAAAGATCTCACCAAATAGATGAACAAAAAGTCTTCAAAACAGAGTTGAAAAATACCTAAAATAACGAACCAAAACCAACACTTTCTAAACCAAAGTTTTTTTATCCAAAAAAGCTATCCCACCGAATCAAAACCGCAGTGCCAAGCTTGTCCACAATGATGATCACTCAACACACACACACAAAAATAATCGTTGTATTTTTCTATTTGAAAAACAAAACAATATCAAATGTGTATATATATATATTGTTGAATCTTGTGGGCTTTTTTATCAAATCCTAGCTACTACCAAACTGATTATAAAATATTTATTGGGCCTCCAAAAGTTAAATATAATATATAAAATATATTTTACCCAAACCAAACCAAATTAAAATTCTTTTAACAAACCAATTGGGTTTCATACTCCACTAAGGAGATATATACCCTAACAATTCTCCCCCTACTGACTTAGGTGAAGACATCAACCATACCCGCCAAAGTTCAACACTTCAAATGTTTGTCCCTCGACAAAGTCTTTGTCAACATATCTGAAATATTATCATCCGTGTGAACCTTTTCGAGTTACAACAATTTTGAATCTAACACATCACGAATCCAATGGTACCTCACATCAATGTGTTTTGATCTCGAATGAAAAGTAAAATTTTTAGTCAAGTGAATAGCACTTTGACTATCACAATAAAGTACATACCTTTCTTGCTTCAAACCCAATTCTTGCAAAAGTTTCTTTAACCATAACTCTTCTTTGCAAGCTTCCATAATGGCAATAAATTCAGTTTCGGTAGTTAAGAGAGCAACACATTTTTGTAATTTAGATTGCCATGCCATAGCTCTCCCTGCAAATGTTATCAAATACCCCAAAGTAGATTTCCTAAAATCAACATCACCGACCATGTTAGAATTCGTGAACCCATCAAGCATCGGCTTACCATCCTCAAAACACAAATACACCTTCGAAGGCCCTCAAAGATACCTTAGAATCCATTTTACTGCTACCCAATGTTCTTTATCCGGATTAGAGAGAAAACGACTCACCATACCAACGTAGGGAGCAATATTCGACCTTGTACAAACCATGGCGTATATCAAAGAACCAACCGCTGAAACATAAGGAATTTTCAGTATCTCTTCATTGTCTTTCTCACTTGTAGAGCATTGATTCGAACTAAGCTTGAAGTGACCTACAAGTGGACAACTAATCGGCATTGTTTTATCCATGTTGAACCTCTTAAGAACTTTCTCAATGTAGCTTTCTTGAGACAACCAAATCAGCCCCTCTTTGCGATCATGAACAATTTTCATACCAAGTATTTGCTTTGCTGGTCCCAAATCTTTCATAGCAAAAGATTTACTCAACTCTAACTTCAATTTCTTCAATTTGCAAACAAATTTTTCTTTCCCTTTCTCCATAAAACCTTCTAGTTGCTCCATGTAAATTTCTTCAAGAATGAAAATATGAGAAGACGCAGAATAATATATATATATGGATAGAGAGAGAAGAGAGAGATTCATACCGGTATTCTTTAGACGACGATGAGTTGGTGAGAGAAATAGAGCGATGTCAAGAGTTTGAGCGAGCTAGCTTGGGCAAAACTAAAGGAATGGATCAAATAAATAAAAGAAAATAGAACAAAATAAATTGGGATTTTATATTCCTATGGGTGAATGAGGCTTTAAGTCACTCATAAATTGGGTTGCTTCTCATATTATGTTGTGGCCATATATATTTTGCCACAGTTAAATAGGCTGTCACAAAAGATTAGACGAAAAAAGTCAATTTCTCTAGTAATGATATACTGAAAGACAATGTATAACATGTAAAAAGATCCTACCATGAAAGTTTGAGCCGTCCAACAAGAGAAATGCAAAAGAAAGATCAACTCTAACTCACATCCATCTCATCATATATAGTAGCGTAACCAACTGATTCCAATATTGAATTACCTGAAAAATAAGAAAAGAAATTAAGTACTAAGACGATTCAATGAAAATAATTTATTTTAAAAATATTACATATTGATTTATTTAAATACCTTGCATCTCTACAGCCCACAAGCCAACTCTGTGCACACATTAATGTTTCCAAAGTATCTGGATGAAGTCTACTCCGACACGGGCTACCAACCTACCACTAGTGCTAAATGCAGACTCAAAAGCAATAGTGGATACTAGAATAGCTAAAAAATCCCTAGCTATTGCCTATAAGGTTGGATACTTCGATGCATTTGATTTCCACCAAGCCAGCACATCAAAAGTAGGGGTTCTTTGTCACAACATCCTCTTCTAAATAATGATCCAACTATGATGTTACATTGTTGACTTTTTTTCTTCGCTTTCAACTAATAAACAAATCATAATCTGAAACTACCTGTGAATCCCCAAAATTTGAACTCGTAAAGATTCAACATAGCATCAGTCCCCAAACTAAGTTTTCTTGATACTCTTGCAACAAAGCATACAAAATTGTGAATCTTCGCAATTTCCTCTTCAGTTGTATCTCCATAAAGTTTATCAAAATAAAACTCCAACACACTAAGTTTGTACCTAGGATCAAGTACAACGCAACTCCTATAAGACCATGTATAACAACCTAATATTTATCCGACTTCCAACATTTTTGAGGCCACTGATCTAACACATCAATTGAACAAGAGCGCCATTGAGAGTTTGTTATCATAATCTCACATAAATTTGGAAAAAGCAACATTGGTCATGGATATTTAGTTCCAGAAACCAAATCCAATGGAAGTTGGCATGGTTTACTTTATTAGCTGAACCAGTAACAACCAAGTCACCCTCATCCACAAATTTAACATTTGTAACCTGCAAAAAGAGCAGAGGAAAAAGGAGAGACGAGTGTGCTTAGCCAAAAGATTTCCGTAAGTAGATAAAATTCAAACAATAAACAAAAGAAAGGAAGGCACTAGACCTTCTTTGAATGACCATTAAGTGTAGATAAAATCTCTCCTAATGGCCGATCAAAGAGTACAAGACTTGTATTAGCCCCACCAGTTGCTATAATATCCTACACACCACCAAAGAAAATGCTTAATTCTAATACAATAGTATCCTGTCCAGCAGCCTTGTACCTCTGAAAAAGTGGATTGACCACAAAAATTTAGTAATGAAAAGTAAATTATAATAGGGGGTATTATTACTATCTTTCAAGAATAGATAATTTACAAGAAATGACTTCAAATAAGATTTTTCTTTTGTTTATTTGTGGCATATGAAAGTTCATTTCTCAACAATGTTGTTCAAAGTAACAGAATTTTGTTTAACAAAGCTGAATTCCAGACCCAAGTCATTAAAAAAATATGACAGATCTCTTAATGATGACAACCCTAATAGTATTTATAAGCAACAAACAATTTCACAATAAATTTGATTAGATCCTTTATCATTGTGGAAATTAAAAGCATTAGTATCATAGAGGTTGGCAGTTTTTTTGTTCGGCACAAAACTAACAAAGACATGAATAGGCAAGATGAAAGCACATGCAGAAAATTAACATTTAATGAACTGACCGCTGTTGCATCAAACACATAAAGTTTCTCCCCTGCAGGAACATGAAGTTCCAACTTCTCCATTTAATAGCTTGTTGACAATACGGATATTTGCAAAAGTTCCTCTTGCCAACTTAATAATGATTTTGACCTTGGAACATTGCTAATTCTATCAAAAATCTACACCTTTTCCCTAAAAAATAAGTTGACAATTCTATTTTATTTCGTGTAGGACTAGTCAAGTAAATAAACAAACTACCAAATTAGGCAGTGAGAGAAATGACATATATAATAGAGAAATATCAGGGAAACCATTCTCTCAAGCACTAAACTTGCAAAGATGCTATCACAAACAAGGATCTGAAGGAACCAACATAATTTTCAGAAGGAAAGAATCAGGAAGCCTTATAGAAATATCAGAAAGAGGATGTTCTTCCAAATTTGTCAAGTAGATGTTCTTCTTAACTTTTATCCTAGAAATAGACAAGTCATATAGCTCAAACATCAGCCACTATAATACCAGTATGTCATTCATAGCAATGGGTTCATTCTTTCCAACTATCCTAGCAAAATATTATTGTGTAAAAAAAAAAAAAGGAAAATAGAGAGTGGGGAGAGAGAATTCAAATACTACATGACCAACCATAAGTAGTAAACATAGCAATCTTCATCATGCCTTGGTTCTGAGTCATGCTTAATTTTTTTTTTCTTCAAATTTTTTCCATATTGTCCATCTCTCCCATACACTAGCCATGAGAATGAAACATCTCTTGTAGGTAGATTATCAAGCAATAAATTCATGAAGATGAAACATCTCTTGTAGGCAATTTATCAAATATATGAACATCAATCAATTTTACATATTTCACATACATATCAATCCACAAAATCCAGACATATACTTCAAACTCCAAACCAACAATTAATGCATTCGAAGATGAAAATCTCTCATATTATGACACAAATTAAACAAAAAAAAAAATCATTTCCTTCAATACTGAAAGAAGCAAATTTAAAGAGGGCACATGAGATGAAAATAAGGTTTATAAATTTCAAATTGACAAGAATGAGAGAGAATTAGAGAGTGAAACAAAATAATAATAATAATAATTGCAAAATTACCTCATAAAAGCTTACAGCTCTAATTTGCTTTCTGCTACCTCAGAAAAACTAATTTCCCATTCATCTTTGTTGAAATTTGCTGCAATTAACCACAACATCAACAATAACCAACACATTAATTGTATTTTAAATGAACAAATTTATCAATAAACATTGCATTCAAACTACAAAAGCTAACAAATTGAAATCAATTCCCAAACAATGAACAAAAAGCTAACAAAGAGTTGTTTAATACAAATCTAAACAAGATCAAAACTAGAATAAACATGTAAACAAATAAATTAGAACTTACCTCCAATGAGAAAGTTAGGGTTCTTTTCTTTCAGGAGTCGATTTTTCCACTGTTGCCGATCAATGATTGGATCATTCAAGAACTTGAAAACGAAATAAGGATGATTATTCAATCAATACATATAGATACATACATAAATTCATATATCTACTGGTATAGAGACCTTTTTAGGAGAAGAAAAATTATTCAAAAAAAGTATAGATAATGTGTACGCAGAGAACGAGATTGTGCAAGAGAGACAAAGATCGAGAGAGACACTCAAAGATCGACAGGGTGAGAAAGAGAAACAGAGACGAAGATGAAAATAGAGAAGACCGAGATATATATATATATATATGGATAGAGAGAGAGAGAGAGATTCATACCGGTATTCTTTAGACGACGATGAGTTGGTGAGAGAAATAGAGCGATGTCAAGAGTTTGAGCGAGCCTAGCTTGGGCAAAACTAAAGGAAATGATCAAATAAATAAAAGAAAATAGAACAAATAAATTGGGATTTATATTCCTATGGGTGAATGAGGCTTTAAGTCACTCATAAATTGGGTTGCTTCTCATATTATGTTGTGGCCATATATATTTTGCCACAGTTAAATAGGCTGTCACAAAAGATTAGACGAAAAAAGTCAATTTTCTAGTAATGATATACTGAAAGACAATGTATAACATGTAAAAAGATCCTACCATGAAAGTTTGAGCCGTCCAACAAGAGAAATGCAAAAGAAAGATCAACTCTAACTCACATCCATCTCATCATATATAGTAGCGTAACCAACTGATTCCAATGTTGAATTACCTGAAAAATAAGAAAAGAAATTAAGTACTAAGACGATTCAATGAAAATATATTTATTTTAAAAATAATTACATATTGATTTATTTAAGTATCTGGCATCTCTATAGCCCACAATCAACTCTGTGCACATATCAATGCTTCTTTTGTATCTAGATGAAGTCTACTCCGATATGGACTCACCAACCTACCACTACTGCTAAATACAGACTCAGAAGCAACAGTTGATACCGAAGTAGCTAAAAAATCCCTAGTTATCCTATAAGACCATGTATAACAACTCAATATTTATCGAACTTTCTCAACATTTTTGATGCCATTAACCTAACCACCTCAATTGAACAAGAGAGCCATTGAGAGATTGTTATCCTAATCTCACATAAATTTGGAAAAGCAACATTGAGAGATTGTTATCCTAATCTCACATAAATTTGGAAAAGCAACATTGGCCATGGGATATTTAATTCCAGAAAACAATTCAGTTGCTCTATAAAATATCTTGAATCTTCCACAAATTTCTCTAGCAAACTCTCACTCCTCCTCACTTGGCAATGTTGTATATTGGGTCTCTTTATATTTCAAGCGGTAAAATACATCCTTATACAACAAGGCAGTTTGAAGCATCAAGTACGTTGAATTCCACCTAGTTGCACAATCAAGTCCTATCTTTTTAGTATTCAAGTTTTTTACTTGACAAGCTATTTCTTCAAAATTTTCTACTCTTTTAAGAGTTGTTGTCCAATAAGCTACACTATTCTGAATTTTCTCTACACTTACTCTTATCACATCCAATCCATCTTTGACAATCAAATTGAGAATATGTGCGCAACAACGCGTATGAAACGAAGTCCCACCCAAAAGAAGAGAATTACTATCCAATTTATCCAACAAAATGTTAATCATCGCATCATTGATGGAACAATTATCAACAGTGATGACAAATACTTTTCTATTAAGATCCCAATCCATCAAACAATTGAGCAAAATATCACAAAGAACTTCTTTTGGGTGTGGACATGGAACATAAAAGAACTTAAAATCATAAATTAAAACTTAAATTAAAACAATTTTGATCAACAAAACATTATGAATAGCTTCCATTGTAATTGTCCAACACCAAAAGCACATCAAGACATGTTTTTAGTAGAATGCATATGATATATGATGCAACAACAATTTGTAATAAAGCATAGATTAATTTATATGCAAAAATAAACCTCAAAATACGGCTTTGCAATGACCAAGAATCATCAATAAAGTGTGTCGTGATTGTTAGGGAAAATATATGATTCCCCACAAGTAAATCAATCAATGGGAATAAAAACTAATGCGAAAATATTAAATCAAAAGCAATACAAGAATTTTACGTGGTTCTCTCAATGTAAGATATTTCCACGGGATCAAAATCCGATTCTACTATCAACTAAAAAGTTTCCAAATGATTACAAATGAGACACGAATGGTCTCATAAACCACCCTTAGGTGAATTCCAAATAATCACAAATAATCAAGAGGAAAGATCTCACCGAATAGATGAACAAAAAGTCTTCAAAACAAAGTTGAAAAAGACCTAAAATAACGAACCAAAACCAACACTTTCTAAACCAAAGTTTTTTTATCCAAAAAAGCTATCCCACCGAATCAAATCCGCAGTGCCAAGCTTGTCCACAATGATGATCACTCAACACACACACACACAAAAACAACCGTTGCGTTTTTCTATTTGAAAAACAAAACAATATCAAATGTATATATATATATATATATTGTTGAATCTTGTGGGCTTTTTTATCAAATCCTAGCTACTACCAAACTGACTATAAAATATTTATTGGGCCTCCAAAAGTTAAATATAATATATAAAATATATTTTACCCATACCAAACCAAATTGAAATTATTTTAACAAACCAATTGGGTCTCATACTCCACTAAGGAGATATATACCCTAACAGTTCTCCCCCTACTGACTTAGGTGGAGACATCAACCATACCCGTCAAAGTTCGACACTTCAAATGTTTGTCCCTCGATAAAGTCTTTGTCAACATATCTGAAATATTATCATCCGTGTGAACCTTTTCGAGTTGCAACAATTTCGAATCTAACACATCACGAATCCAATGGTATCTCACATCAATGTGTTTTGATCTCGAATGAAAAGTAAAATTTTTAGTCAAGTGAATAGCACTTTGACTATCACAATAAAGTACATACCTTTCTTGCTTCAAACCCAATTCTTGCAAAAATTTCTTTAACCATAACTCTTCTTTGCAAGCTTCCGTAATGGCAATAAATTCAGTTTCGGTAGTTAAGAGAGCAACACATTTTTGTAATTTAGATTGCCATGCCATAGCTCCCCCTGCAAATGTTATCAAATACCCCAAAGTAGATTTCCTTAAATCAACATCACCGACCATGTCAGAATCCGTGAACCCATCAAGCATCGGCTTACCATCCTCAAAACACAAATACACCTTCGAAGTCCCTCAAAGATACCTTTGAATCCATTTTACTGCTACCCAATGTTCTTTACCCGGATTAGAGAGAAAACGACTCACCACACCAACGTAGGGAGCAATATTCGACCTTGTACAAACCATGGCGTACATCAAAGAACCAACCGCTGAAGCATAAGGAATTTTCAATATCTCTTCATTGTCTTTCTCACTTGTAGAGCATTGATTAGAACTAAGCTTGAAGTGACCCACAAGTGGACAACTAATCGGCTTTGCTTTATTCATGTTGAACCTCTCAAGAACTTTCTCAATGTAGCTTTCTTGAGACAACCAAATCAGTCCCTTTTTGCGATCACAAATAATTTTCATACCAAGTATTTGCTTTGCTAGCCCCAAATATTTCATAGCAAAAGACTTGTTCAACTCCAATTTCAACCTGTTAATCATAGTGCAATCTTAACCCACAATTAACATGTCATCAACATAAAGTGAAAGAATAATAAATTTACTATCCGAGAAAATTTTCACAAACACACAATGGTCCGAAGTGGTTTTAGAAAAACCATTATGCATCATGAAAGAGTCAAATTTTTTGTACCATTGCCGCGGGGCTTGCTTGAGGCCATACAAACTTTTCTTCAATTTGCAAACAAATTTTTCTTTCCCTTTCTCTACAAAACCTTCTAGTTGCTCCATGTAAATTTCTTCTTCAAGATCACCATGAAAAAATGCAGTCTTCACATCAAGTTGCTCAACTTCAAGGTTTATACTTGCAGCCATGCCAAGTACAACCTGAATAGAAGACATCTTTACAACTGGTGAGAAAATCTCATCAAAGTCAATACCTTTCTTTTGCCCAAAGCCTTTCACAACAAGATGTGCTTTGTACCTCAGATTCTTACTATCATTCTTCAATTTGAAAACCTACTTATTTTTCTAAATTTTCCTCTCCTTAGGCAACTTCACCAAATCATAAGTGTGATTTTCAAGTAAGGAATTCATCTCCTCTTCTATGGCCTTTTTCCAATTATCTTTCATGTTCAATTGCTTCTTCGTAGCTCTCAGGCTTCCCTTGATCGAAAATCAACACGAATTCATTGGGAGGATACTTTCTTGAAGGTTTCCAGTCCCTTGTAGATTTCCTCAACTCAAGATGTGGTGGTGGTTCTTAAGTTAGATGCTCTTCCTCAATTTCGGGCTCAATTTCATTTAGGGTAGCATCATCATCTACATCTTCAAGAGGTGGCTGCACATCTCCCCAATTTTCATTATCCATCGAAGACGAAGGAGATGGATCAATGTCAATGAGATCACTACTTTTTGGCTCTAGTTGATCACCTTTGCCAAAGTCTTCAATTGTTTGGTCTTCAAGAAACACAACATCACGGCTTCGAATGACTTTCTCGTCAACCGGATCCCACAATCTATAACCAAACTCATCACGCCCATAGCCAAGAAAAATACATTGTCTTGACTTGCTATCAACTTGGACCTCTCATCTTTTGGAATGTGAACAAAGGCTTGACAACTAAACACTATCTTTGATGGTCCAAACTCTTTCTGGAACATCACCATTCAAAGGATAGGAATGAAACAAATTGATCACATCAACTGCTATCCTCATTATCTCACCTCAAAAAGATCTTGGCAATTTAGCATGTGAAAGCAGACACCTTGTTCTTTCCACAATGGCGTGGTTCATCCTCTCGACAATGCCATTTTGTTGAGGAGTCTTCTTAACTGTCTTTTGGTGCCGAATACCTTGGCTGCGACAATACTCATTAAATAGCCCAATGTATTCACTACCATTGTCTGATCGGATGCACTTCAATTTCTGTCCTATTTTTCTTTCAACCATGGCCTGAAAATGCTTAAATATATTTAGAACTTGATCTTTAGTTTTAGTATAAAAGCCCAAAATTTCCTTGAATAATCATCAATGAAAGTAACAAAATAAAGTGCACTACTATGTGTTCTAACTTTCAAAGGTATTCACCAAAAAAAAAAAAAAAAAACTTTCAAAGGACCACAAACATCAGAATGAATCAACTCCAAAACATTTTCTTTTCTAGAAGCAACATTTTTATGAAAGAAACTCTATGTTGTTTACCTGCCGAACAATAAACATAAGTTTTAAGATGTGTACCTTTCAAATCTGGTAAAAGCTCTTTCTTGAACAAAACTTGTAGCCCTTTTTCACTCATGTGCCCAAGCCGTTTGTGCCACAATTCTGTAGAAGTATCATCTTCAAGTGCATTGACAACACCTTTACAAATTTTTCCGTGCATCGAATAAAGTGCATGAGTCTTCTTGCACTTAGCCACCACCAAAGAACCCTTTGTGAGCTTCCATATTCCATCACCAAATTTGTTGTTGAAGTCTTCATCATCTAGCTTCTTGGTAGAGATCGAATTGAGGCGAATGTCAAGAACGTGCCTCACATCTTTAAGCAAAACTGGCAGCTCAAATTTGTTTCCAAGCAAACATCACCCATACCAATAATCTTGGACAAACCTTCATTACCCATTCGAACAGAACCATAATCTCCTTTGGTGTAGGTAGTGAAGAAATCAACTTGAGAAGTCACATGAAAAGAAGCACTAGAATCAATCACCCAATTGCTCTCTTGGCCCACAAAATTGATACAATTATCTTCACAACCGACCATGAGATCATCGATAGTAACCGCCGTTGTGTCTTCTTGCTTCTTATCCACACTTTTGTCATGCTTTTTTTATTTGTTCTTGAGTTTTTGGCATCCCGTTTCATGTGCCATTTCTCAAGGCAGTAATAGCACTCAATGTTTTCCTTTGAAAAAGAACCATCTCTTGACTTGTCACGGCTTTAATCACGACCATAAGGAGTCTTACTCCTCCCCCTTGTTTTGCTTCGGCCTATCACAACAAATGCCTCCGAATGAGAAGAACTCACTGATTTTCTTCTAATTTCTTCATTCAACAAGCTACTAGTGACTTGGCTCATTGTGACAACTCCATTAGGCACTGAATTACTAACCATCACAACCAAAGTCTCCCAACTTTCGGGCAAAGAACTAAGTAGCATTAAAGCCTACAACTCATCATCAAAAATAATTTTCATAGAAGCAAGTTCGTTAACGATACTCTTTATTTCATTCAAATGTTTCGGAATAGGGCTGCCATCTTTATATTTTAAATTAACCAACTTAGAAAACAGAAAAGCTTTTATTTGTGGCTGATTTTCTATCATAAAGGCCTTCTAATTTTTTCCATAAATCATGTGCTGAAATTTCAGTAGCAACATAATGAATACACTGTCATCAATCTATTCATGGATAACACCAACGAATTTTCAATTAAGCCTCTTCCATTCATTGTCTGCTATGCCCTCAGGTTTGCCACTATCACCCTCAATGGGTCCATACAAATCTTTACAAAATAATAGGTCCTCCATTTTAGTTTTTCAAGTTACCCAATTGCTTCCATTGAAGCTAGACATACGACCCACATTCCCCTCTATTGATTTACACAAATAAATAAACCCAAATAAATTGTAAGCTCTGATACCAGTTATTAAAGAAAATATATGATTCCCCACAAGTAAATCAATCAATGGGAATAAAAATTAATGCGGAAAAATTAAATCAAAAGCAACACAAGAATTTTACGTAGTTCTCTCAATGTGAGGTACGTCCATGGGATCGAAATTCGATTTCACTATCAACTAAAAAGTTTCCAAATGATTACAAATGAGACGCGAATGGTCTCACAAACCAACCTTAGGTGAATTTTAAATAATCACAAATAATCAAGAGGAAAGATCTCACCAAATAGATGAACAAAAAATCTTCAAAACAAAGTTGAAAAGAACCCAAAATAACAACCAAAACCAACACTTTCTGAACCAAAGTTTTTTGATCCAAAAAAGCTATCCCACCAAATCAAAACCGCAGCACCAAGCTTGTCCACAATGATGATCACCCAGCACACACATACAAAAACAGCCACTGCATTCTTCTATTTGAAAAACAAAACAATATCAAATATATATATATATTGTTGAATCTTGTGGGCTTTTTTTTTTATCAAATCCTAGCTACTACCAAACTGATTATAAAATATTTATTGGGCCTCCAAAAGTTAGCTATGATACATAAAATATATTATACCCAAACCAAACAAAATTAAAATTCTTTTAACAAACCAATTGGGTTTCATATTCCACTAAGGAGCTATATACCCCTACAACAAACCCTTTTTTTTAATTACTAGAAGTCTACATATCAATTGTGATTGCCACTTTACTTTAATTACTCTGTACCAATCTCATTATCTTCTCCTTCTCATTGTCATAGATCTTCAAAATATCACTTTTTATCGTGTTTCGAGAAGGTACTTTAAATAATGGTTGAAGTGCCATCGAATATCTTTTAACCTAGTATGATCCACAATAGACAAAGGATATTAATGCAAGATTATGGCATTTGAAAGCTCTCTCCTAGCAATATCTTCATCAAAACTATAAGAGACTTTCGGGCTCTCCTCGTTAAAATTGCTAGTTAAAACTCTTTGCCTCATGTCCATTCCCTCAATTTTCTTAAGACAAATTCTATAGTGACCACGCAAATGTGAAGTTCCATGTTTCGGATTACCTCTAAGATGCTTCTTACAATAATTGCATATTGCCTTCCATACCCCATCAATTTCTTCCCCCTTAAAGTGTTACCTCACAAAACTTGGGTTTTTTTCTACGAGCTAAACTAGAATTAGAATCATCTACATCAAGGACATTTTGATTTGGGAGGGGAGATTGTGATGGTAGAGAGGTCTCACTCTCAATCGATATTGATAGTTGTAAACCATTAACGGGTAGTTAGGAGTTTGCTTGAGAGTTTGCTCCAACTTCAAACATTATCAATGCTTAAAAATCCTGGAGAACATAAATAAATAAATAAATAACCTAGAATCCCCATTTAGGCATTTAGTCAAACAGCGCAATGAAACAAAACTCATATCCTACAATGGAAACTATCTTCACTTAGCTAATATGCCAATTCTTTATACTCAATTTGAATTGTGTCAAATTCAAGACTCATATCCTGCAAAATACTACAAATATAAATTAGTTTTAGAGGCCCTTGCTAAGCAGTAAATTCAAATTCACCACATCCACCATCAGAATCAAGAAATTCAGGACAAATATTAGCTAGAATATTTGGCTCCTACCCAAAAAAAAAAAAAAAATATTACTGGCTAAAATTTCAGTGGTGATTGATTACGAATAATTTATTGCTATCTAGATATGCAAATTTGAAATTACTATTTTTTAACCTAGTTAGTTGATTGAGATATTTAGTTATAGTGATCTTTTACCTAGTTTAGTAATGAGATTGAAAGTATCAAAGTCACAGCCTTTCCCAAATACCCATCCAAAAAACTAGAGAGAGAAAGGGAAAGAAGAACAAAAATTCCATCAAACATTAAATTTGATCACAAAGAATTATTCCAAGAAAACATTAGGAAAATTCCTAATAACAAAGAAATTAGTGTGAATGAGACCGTAAACGCTCTTAAATCTCACCAAAAAATAAAAAATAAAAAACTCTACTTTCTGAGACAAAAACTTAATTAGAGAAGAAAAAAAAATGGGAATTTTGAAAAGAAAAGAAAGAACATACGAATGGATTTGCTGGTGCATGTAAAGGACGAACCCTAGGATGTCAACGACGGCATGGAATATGACGGAGCTATCAAGGCAGTCTGCCCTGGTCTCGATCTCCACTAGTAGATTCTACGACTTGTGAATCTTGGACTTTTTCGGATTCGACAACGATTGGTTCAATTTCTGAGACTTTGGGAACAAATGATAATGTGGGTGGTCTAATAGAGGAGGTAAGGGAGTTGAACCTGTGAGAAGAGAGAGAGAGATAGAGAGAGAGAGAGAAAAGTAACGAAGAGAACCCTAAACACAACATATGGGGGAAAATGAGGGGGGTATCCATCCCGACCCATATCCTATGAATGTATAAAAAACACCACTTAATTGACCCGAAGGGTAAGAAAAAAGGAAAAAATCCATATATTTGGGTCCGATCTCTATGGGTATCCATAGGGTAGGATCCCTATTACCATCCCTATTTCCACCGTGTATTCCATATATATACATAAGTATTTTAGTCATTCAAGATTATGTTTGGGAACTTAGGAGAGAAAAGAAAAGAAATGATTACTTGAGTTATAAGAGAAAAGAAAATAAAAGAAATGATTGTGATTTCTCTCCTTTTTGTTTAGTTAGATTTCATAAGATAACATAAAAAAAACTTTTTTATGTTGTATTACCAAAATAACTTTTTGCTGGATATGAAAAGCCCTTGAGGACATGAGTGTCAATCATTTTATTTCTTTTATTTTTATAGGGACAAAATTAGTATTATGAAAATACAAGAATGTGTTGGTTTCTTTTCTCTCTCAATTTCTTCACTTTTTGGAAGATTGAAAGTGAGGGTTATAAAAGAAATGAGTTTTTCTCAATTTCTTCCCATTTTTTTTAACAAGTAAGAGAAATATATATCTCTCAATTTCTTTTATTTTCTTTCCAAATCACTCAATCCAAACATAGTAAATATTTTAAGGTGTGACTTTTTATCTAATAAATTCAAAGTTAGATTTATGTGCCTATTAATTTTTTATTAAGATTTTTGTTTTAAAAAATATTTTAAGTATTAACTAAATACCAAAAACAAAAGTAAAAATTGACCTGTCACCGGTCTTGATTTTTGTAATATTATATTACATACCTTATGCTTTATCGTCAACCACGTATGTCTGTGTGCCACCGGAAAGAAACCCGGCCGACACCAATCTCAGCACATGTTAGCATTTCTAAAAAAATTTCAAAAATATAATTTTTTTTTTTTAATTTGAAAATTATTATTATTATTGTATATTGTACATGTATAAGCTTCTCCAACAACAACAAGAAGAAGAAGAAGAAGAAGACACAGGACGACGACAGCAACGACTCAGGACGACGTGGGATAGCGGTCGCTACTCTGTTGCTCTCTCGCATTCAATCGCCAGAGCCCAATCTTTGTAAGACCAATCCAATCCAATCCAGTCCGATCTCTCATTTCCAATTCCAAATTCAAACTTTTTTTGAATTCTCAGATCATTTTCACCAGGAATAGCAAGAGGAAGAGGAAATCAGCCTTGAGAAAACATTGCTATATATAGCACATGTGATTTGAAGTCTGATTTAATAGGGTTTTTGTTTTGAGTAGTTGTTGTTGTTAAGGGTAGTTTATATTTTATTGAACTAGTAGGGTTAAGTGTGTTGGATTGAAGAAGTTTTGTTAGGCTGAATAGAGAAAATTAGGGTTAGGGTTTATGATGGAAGATTGATTGATAATGGTGCGGCTGTTGGGATTGACTCGCTATGAATCAGAGCCTCGGGAGATCACGCGATCCAATCCGACTGTTGAGAGTGCCGGAGGAGATAATGGGTGGCTCATTCGCTTTTTCGATTCGGCTTTCTTCTGTGAGTGGATTGCTGTTAGTTATCTCTACAAGCATGAGCACTCCGGTGTTCGAGACTACCTCTGCAATCGAATGTACACTTTACCCTTATCTGGCATCGAAAGCTACTTGTTTCAAATATGTTACATGTTGGTTCACAAGCCCAGCCCGTCACTCGATAAGTTTGTCATCGATGTGTGCTCAAAGTCACTCAAGATAGCCCTCAAAGTGCACTGGTTTTTGATGGCGGAGCTTGAGGACTCAGATGATAATGAGGGGATTGGTAGGATTCAGGAGAAGTGTCAAATTGCAGCAACTTTGATGGGTGAGTGGCCGCCATTGATTAGGCCCCATAATCCACCTGCTACTCCCACGAGCAAGAATCAAGTTCTTAATAGGTTACTATCATCGAAACAGAGGCTATTGTCATTAACATCATCGCCACCCCCTCAACGGTCTTTATCATTATCGCCTTCATCCGGGAACTCCTTACAGGATGATGGGGAGAAGGCTTCTCCGGATGAGAACAAGATTTTCAAGAAATTAAGTTTGGGTCCAAAAGTTCGGGATTCATTGTTTTTCAGGAAATCAGTGGATAAAGATGATGAGGAATCAGAGAAGGATGGCTTTTTCCGAAGGCTTCTAAGAGATAGTAGGGATGAGGATGGTAGAAAATCAATGGATAAACATGAAGAGGACTCGGAGAAAGATGGCTTCTTCAGGAGGCTTTTGAGGGATAGTAGGGATGAGGATGAGGAGATCACATCGAGCTCGGAAGGATTTTTCAAGCGGTTATTTCGTGATAGTAAAAGTGATCCTGAGGAAAAAGTAATCTCAAAATCGGCTGAAGAGGATGAAAAGGGGGGTTTTCTCCGTAAGTTTTTTAAGGAGAAATTCGAGGAGAAAAGGGGGGTTGACAGAAATGATGATGAAGAAAAAGGGTCAAAGTCTGCAGAAAATGATGAAAAAGATGGATTCTTTCGGAAATTTTTTAAGGAAAAATTTGAGGACAAGAAAGATGGGAATGATAGGACTGATGACGAAGGCAAGGGGCAAGCCAATGGCGATGAAGAAGAATCTTCAGATGTTTCTTTGTTTCGTAGACTGTTTCGTGTGCATCCAGAAGATGCAAAGACTACAGCAGCCAATGAAAACAGCAACAGTGGCAATTTTCTTGAAAGCAGTCCAGGGACAGAAAAGTTTTTCCGCAAGCTGTTCAGAGATCGCGATCGTACTGTAGAAGATTCCGAGCTGCTTGGATTGGATAAACCGAAAGAGGTCAGTTCACAATTTATTTGTTGCGTTTTTCTTTTTCCCTTTTTCATTTCATACTGAACATGACACCCTTACCATTAGTTTGCAGCAGTTGTAATAATTTTCCTCAATTTAGTTACTGCCATTCTTCTTTCAATTAGAAAGGATGTGAGTTTGGTTCTGTTGAACTCTTTGGCTTTGAATTATGATGCATACATATATCTAATAGCCAATGGTTCTAAGTATGTGTTGCCGTTGTCTGAAATTCTTTAGATTGTTTTCAGATTCCCAAGTTATACTCATTTATTCGTGAATGCTCCCTCATTGTTTTTCTGGTAATGATTGTAATATTACTAGATAGGAAAGAAATGGAAAGAAATGAAATACCTGAGGGACAAGGATGATACCTCCTCAATGATAAAGAGAGCCAATAAGGAAAAAGTAAACTAAGTGGACCTTAAACATTCCAACAACCAAAGGGTTACTGACCAAACTGTTTGCTTCTGCATGGTTTGTTCAAAAGTCCATGTAATAACTGCAAAAAAGGAAGAGTAAATTAATTTGATATCTTTCGCAATAAGTTGGCATGGATCACCAAAGTAGGTGTTTTCACTCTTCCCACCACAATTAGAATTACCTTCTATCAAATAGTATTGAAATCTCAAAGAAACTGTCAGTGTTTTTAAGAGAATAACACAATTAGAATCTGTCAGTCAAACAGTAGTGAAATTCCAAAGAAATTGACTAAAGCTTTCAATTAGAGCCAAAACCTCTTTCTGATAGACCTATTCTCACTGGCTTGAAGGTTAAAAAAAGAAAAGAAATATCTATATTTCTAAAATTTACCAAAGGTGGACCTGGGTTGTTTATCATCCTTTAAAAACAAATCTTTGTCTCATTTTGTGTCTTGGCTTCAGGGTCGTATACTTACAGTTTTGTATAGTTGGGTTGAATGAAAGGTTGATCTAGATACGTTTGCTTTTTGAGGTTTTTTGGATGATGTGATTGGGTAGGAGTTGGTTTTTCTCTTTTGGGCTTTTCCGTATTCGTTGCATCATCTTGATGTTTTTTTTTAATAAAATTTGTTCATTTATTTAAAAAAAAAACAAAAATAAAAATTAAAAAAAAAAAAAAAACAAAACACGAATCTTCCAAATGTAGGCAATTGTTATTTGGTTAGGACAAGGTAAAGTCATGATCATCCTAAACCAAAATAAATTAATAAAATGATGTACGATAAATGCGGCGAAACACTTCCTTACAAGCTATATCAACTAAGAAGCATGAACAAGAACACAGACACGAACACGACATGGTTATGGAATTTTTTTAATTTTTATTTGCTTTGGATATGAATATAAATTTAAGGTATAAAGATATAAATTTAAGGTATAAAGATATAAGAGGAATCAATGTATGCAAGAGTGTAATTTGTTTGTTTGTTTGTTTGTTTTTTTTCTAATTTCCTCCCCTCTTTATTTTCATATATTTTAATTCAACTCCAAATCAAATTTCTAAAATTATAAAAAAACTCATAAAGGTGTCTCGGTACGTGTCCAAACACAAGAAGTGTGTCTGTGAAGTGTCTTGCAAAAAAATTATAATTAAAGAAATTGACATGCCACATGGTGTGTTTGACATGTAGACACTCGTGTCCGTGGTATGTCGGTTTTTGATGCGTGTCGAACATGGGCACAATACCCATTTTGGGGAGTATCTGTGCTTCTTCGTATATTACCAATCTATTTTAGGCATATTTCAAAAGGAGTTATTGAGGTACTCAGTTTTATTTAGAAAGAGAGATGGAGTTTTACTGTTTCTAAAGGCGTAAATGGGGGGAAAGGGTTTTGGGTTTTGATTAGCTTTGAATGACACAATTTTTTTGACCTCTAAGTTTACGCCTTACAAGGACAAGGTATATTTTTCTCTTCCGTGTCCAAACCTTTAGACTAAAAGTACCATAACCACAATAAATTGTACTATTTTCCATCTTCTTGTTCCATTGGCTTATTTTCAAAGTCAATGTCCATATAAATAATATTTTGGACTTCGCAAAATAGCATATTTTTTGGAACCAAAGTTGTAAAGAACTTGAGCTTAAATGTAGATACTGAGGCTACAGTTTCATGGAGAGAGAGGTTTTGGTTTCGTTGGGTATTGATTGGATGTGGGAAAGTTGTTCTATGGTTACTAGCTTGAACGTTTAGGAGGGAGGGATTGTGTTTTCTAGACTTTTTAAAGGTTTAGGAAGGAGTTATTTAGGTTTTGTTATAGTTTATTATAAGGACATGAATTAAAGAGAGGAGGAGAAGAAGATAATCTAGGACTTCTAAATTTTTTTGGTTGTCTTGAAGATGTGAGTGGCATTAGGGAGGTGGGAAGGGGAGAGTCATTTTTAAGGTTGCTTGTAAGGGCTGATCATGTGGAATGGGATTTCTTGGACTTTGTTTTGCGAAAAAAAAAGGGGGTTTTGGGGACAAAAGGAAATAATGGATTTATGGTTGTCTATGCACATGCAATTTATTTGTTATGGTCAATGATAAGTCGGGTGATCTGTTATTCTCTTCCCTTTTTATCCTGGTGGCGGATGTGATGGGTAGGTTGGTTGATAGGGCGAAAAATTTTGATCTAGTGTATGGTTTCGTGGTTGGGGGAAATAGAGTTTCTGTATCCCATCTTCAATTTGCGGATGACACCATGTTTTTTTCATTAAGGGAGGAGAGTAAGGTGATGTGCATTTTATCGCTATTAAGAGTATTTGAGGTGGTTTCGGGTCTTAAGGTTAATTTGAGCAAGAGTAGTATTGTGGGCGTTAATTTGCAACAGAGTCGAGTTCAAAGTTTGGCGATATCCTAGGGTGTTCCATCGAAAAGCACCCCATGAAAAATTTGGGGCTTCCACTAGGGGGTAATCTTAGAAGTGAATCTTTGTGGATGTCGGTGGTGGAAACGATAGGTAAGAGATTGGAGGGTTGGAAGAGGGCTTTGCTTTCGAAAGGGGGGGGAGGTACACGTTGATTCATTCCATTCTAAGTGGTATTCCCATCTATTTTTTGCCCCTTTTCAAGGTTCCGGTTAGGATTGCAAAATCAATAGAGGGTTTAATGAGGGATTTCATATGGGAAGGAAATGATGAGGGTAAGAAGATGCACTTGGTTAGATGGGAGACCGTTTCACTGTCTAAAGATGAAGGGGGGCTTGCAATAGGCAACACTGTAGCAAAAAATCTTGCTCTTCTTGGAAAGTGGCTATGAGATTTCCTTTAGAGAGATGTATTGTCGCATTTTATTATTAAAAGCAAGTGCGGGGTTCAAGATAATGGTGGGCTTGCTCATGTCGTTTTGAGGGGTAATTGTCAATCTCCTTAGAAGTCAATATCTCATATTTTCTCTCTTTTTTTCTAGATTTCTTTCTCTAAGGGTGGGAAATGGGGAAAAGATTAGGTTTTGGAGGATGTTTGGGTTGAAAATTCTTCTGTTGCCAAGGATTTCTTGGGTCTTTATAGGGTTGCAAATTCTCATGATTCTTCCATTGCGTCGATGGCATGTTCTAGTTTGGCTCCAATTGTATGGAATTTTAGATTCTCTAGAAATCTTATTGATAGGGAGGTTGGTGATTTAGCCTCCTTGTTGTCTCGTATTGATCATTTGTCTTTGGATTCTTCCTCGAGTGATAAACAAGTTTGGCTCTTGCATACTTCTGGTGTCTTTTCTTGCAAATCTTTTTTGGATAAAATCATTGAAAATCTAAATGTTTCGTTCTTTCCTCTTTACAAAAGATCTGGAAGTCTTTTGTGCCTCTCAAAGTGAAGTTTTTTATATGATTTGGTTCATGGAAGCATTTTGACCAATGATGTTCTTCAAAAGAGGAGGCCTAATGGTGCATTATGTGTAAGGGATAGGGGGAGTCTCTTAATCATCTTTTTTTACATTGCCCAGTGGCAAGGGGATTGTAGCACCAGTCTTTTTCATTGGGTGGCCCCCAAATCAAGTAGTTCCATGTTTTTTTTTATTATTGAATTTCGATTTTTAGACTCAAATAAAAAAGCGAATGTGTTGGGGCTTTGTGCAGTTTTCACATTATTCTGGGTCTTATGGTTGGAAAGAAATGCGGGGATCTTTGAGGATAAAAGTGTTGATGTCTTCTTGATGTGGGAGAAAATTAGATTCTTGGCATCTTTTTGGGCATTAGTGGCTCCCTCATTTAGGGGGATTCCGCTTTTGATTTCTAGGGATTGGAAGTCAGTGTGCGACTCTTAGGCGTTTTTGTTTTCTGCTTTTGAGGGCTTCTTGTCCTCCTTTTTATATCTCCTTCTTCTTCTTTTTCTTCTTTTTTTTTTTTCATTTTAATAAAAGTTTTCTAGTTTCAAGGCCTTGAGGGGACTTAGAAAATGAACCCGTCATCTCCTTTTTTGTGCACCAGTGGTGCCAAAAATCGATAGTGGATCGTCCAGATATCGTACCACAAGGACTAATGGGTTGAGTTGTGTTGATTTGAATGGCAATTCTTTAAATTAATTTGATCAAAACATGAGGATTGAATTAAAAGAGCACAAGCTAAATTTAAGCAAGTAAAATTGATTTGTTCTGAATATGAAGAGTCTTAGGATCTCGAATTCGCCACTAATTGCATATCACGTAATTTATATATCTGATTACAGTAAATCAATGCTCTGGATAATAGTAATGTACCATGGCTACAGGCTTCGATATCATTGTCAAGAGGATGAGTATATTCAAACCATAGGCACGAATCATCCTTGGTCGGCACAAATCGTCCACACTAAACTAATTGCAGCACAATTCGTCTCCTCTAAGCATGACTCGTCTCATGGTTTGTATATATAAACAAGTAAAAACAATTGTATGATCATGCATTCTCAATCATAGAAATCGAATATATAAATTGAATGAAAACTTTAATTGAATAAAAGATCTTCAATAATCATACAACGATTATCCAATTCAAAAGAAAAATTAAATCAAAATATAAAATTACATGATACTTGACTTGGGCTTCATCTCAATCCTAAGAAGAGAACTTAGCCGCTCATGGAGAGAGTGGAATCCTCAAAGGTTGAAGAAATGCCATGGATTGATGATTGCAAGCACCGCTCTAGCTTCAAGTTACCTTTTCTAGGTTTTTGGATCCCTCAAAACAAGCTGTATGATGCAGCAGCATATTGACTTAATAAGACACAAATTATGTCACAACATGATTTATAACTTAATTATGATTGTCTAGCATTTGGAAAATCAAGGTTTGTGCCTAATAAGCATCATTGCATGCGTTTTTTAACACTTCTAAAGGGTGCTATTGCTCATCATAAAGAAAATAAGGTAGAAAAAAAAGAAAAGAAGTCACCACCCACACAATTTGATGACCAATGAAACTCCTCAAGTCCCAAGTTGTTCAATTCTTTTAGAATGTTGTGTGTGTGTGTGTGTGTGTTTTTTTTTTTTTATATTTATTTTTGTTTGTTTATTCTAAACAAAAGAAAGAAAAATCTAGTATTGGCCAATTTAGAGAGTGATATTGAGTTCACAACATCTTATTTTTGGATATTATATTGATAAATACCTCCGAGTAGAATTAGATTTGCACTCGTAGTCCATGTTCAAGAGTTGGACTTTAGTGTGAAAAGATGAGATTTAAAATTATTTGGTGGTGTGATGTTATTTTTATATGTTCAGGTTGATATTTACAAGTCCTAGCTCCAAGGACTTGGGATTCTGTACAATAAAATTAAATACAAACTAATAAGATGGAATGCTATCAATCTCTTAGACACCAACTCTAAGGCCATTTGGATTTCAATTCCATTAAACCCTTCACCTTCATTATCACCATCTTCAGTAACATACCTAGACCACTACTATGACACTATCACTTCATTTGTAATGACTCAGCATATTTTTTCTTTGTTGCTTGCTGATTAAAAAAAAGAAAAAAGAAAAGAAATTGAAACAAAGAGAAATCTGATTTGGTTGATGCATAGGTGGGACTGTCACGTGGAATGGGCCTCGAATTCTTCATGGGCTTGATTTTCAGCTTTGGAATACGTGTTTGAGATGGCGAGGGTTACGATTTTGAATTAGTATCTAAAGCACAGGGAGAATGAAAGGATGCCTTTGGTTCCCACTTGATTTACCTGGTACCATTTGGGTTTCAGATGTGATATCATTTGTTCCAACTTGATTGTTGGTTGTTGGGTTAAGAAGAAAAAGGGAAGTGGGTGTTTGGTTATATCAAAAGGAGATGTGGTAGGTATTAACTGATTTTTGTGATATAATGATGAAACTATGCACAATTTTTATAGATAATGTTATAAAGGGTATTTAATTATAAAAGGGACATGAAACTAAAGCTCAAAACAAAGACAAAAGAATAAATCATGTCCCATATATCTGGTACTTCAAAGTTATCGTAAAAAATTCTAGCTTTTCTTTTCAACCAAATTATCCAAAACTAGGCACAAATAACGCAGCTCCAATGTACTTGAGCCTTCTTAGTGGAACCAAGGCCTCTATATTCAATCATGAGCATTTGTACACAAGAAACTGGAACTACCCAAATTCGTCTCTACTATTCTATACCATAGTTGTCAAATTGGGATTCGAATCATGAATCGAAATGGTCTTATATTGAATCATGAATCAAATTGTGAATTGTAAAGATTCGGTCATTTTTTCTAAATTACATAGAAAAATATATCTACACCGTTAGATATTAAATATATCTAATAAATATCAATGAAAATGTTGTTTTGAATGATAATCATATGGTCTAGTAGGTAAGAAGTTAACACAGGTTCCCATACAAGTTCACCACCTTACCTTTTCCCTTTTAGATACCATTTCTTTTCAACCATTCTTATTCTTAATAAAGAAAGTAAACAAAGACAAACTTTCAATTTTCAAGTAACAATAACTCAACAGTAATGCTTTAACTTTTTACAACTAAAGTAACAGACACCCAAATCTCCAAACTCTTTCAAAATCTCACTTTTTGCCTTCAAAATTTTCCTTTTATAAATGCAAACAATTGTTAAAGTTGAATATGTAAGCCTAGAATATTGTAGACATAATGTTTTTGTTTTGTTCTGTTTTGTTTGTTTGTTTGTTTGTTTATTTGTTTATTTGTTTTTAAAAGTTTGGGGGGATTATGCGATATAGTAGTCCTAAAGATATTAAAAAGGTCTGAACCTTTTTCCAACAATAAAAAACCAAGAAGAAGCCAAACATCGATTTTAGTTAATCGATCGATTTACCCAGTCACTCATGATTCACAACTATTTGCGACTCATGCAACCTGTTCGTATCCCAAAACTGAATGTTCTTTCTATTGCCCACAACAAATCTAGTAAATATAAAATATTCAGGAAGACCTTGAGAAATGGATGTTTATGAGATTGAGAGTTCCCCAATTAACCACGTTCAAGTAAATCTAATGAATCAAAGATTGTGCACATATATGAAAACAGTGTCTACAATTGCAGAGGAAATGTTAGTGGTGTACTGGATTTTCTCTAATTATATATGAAACTGATCTAGTGATTTGACTTGCGAGAGCTCACATCCTTGGTAATTTATTCTATGCACTATCTGATGGTTCCCTTTCTTTTTTTTTTGCTCTCGCAAATATTTTTTTTGACAATTTACTTGTTGAAGATGTTTGTAGTGTTTTATCTTTAAACTGGATTGAGAAGTATATACTACTAGCATGGTGTTCTTGTTTGTTGTTATTCACCATGTTCTGTTTGGCAGAAACGCCCCGGCTCACCAAAGCAAAGGAATGAAAAATCTAATGCTAAGCCTCCACTTCCAAATAATGCCGTGTCACAGTTTCGCAAAGGGACGTATCATGAGTCACTTGACTTTGTGCAATCACTATGTGAAACATCATATGGCTTAGTGGACGTATTTCCAATGGCAGATCGCAAAAGTGCTCTTCGAGAGGTTGTTACTTTTGCTTACCCCCTCCTCTCACCCACCCAATATCTGCCCAATTATCTTCAGCCACATGAACTGATTATGGAATTTTTGTGTTTCTAGTCACTTGCAGAGATCAATGCGCATGTGGCTACTGCTCAGGATAGTGGTGGTATGTATTAAGTTGCTGAGTACATGGGTTTTACTTGAGGCAGAATGCTTATGAGTTTCCTTATAGTAGTTGGATATTGCTGTCTCTTTCACAGATCAATTCAAAATTCATGAAGGGAAAATGAAACTGGCAACTCTAGTGTTGGCATAGTCCATTTGTTTTTGTTCTAAAAAAATGTATTTTTTGAATGCTTCAAGTGTATATAAATTTTGTGAAGGAAAATGGCATAAAACTTGTGTAAATTATTTTCTTGTGATTTCATTTTCATTTTCTTTTCAGTTTGAGAGTGAAAAAGAGTAGGTCGTCTGTTTTTATTTTTGACTTTGTTTTTGTGTGCGCGCGCGTGTGTGAGCACATGCTTGTGTGCCTGTTATGTAAAGTTGCCTATTTTGTTACCTCTCACTTTTTTCTTTAAAAAGTTTTTTGTAACAGTATTCGAAAGTGCTCATTAATGTCTATCTAGGCCAATGTTCTATTTTTTTTCAAGTGCAGAGAACTGTTAAAAAATTACATGTACTACTTACTTACTAGTTGCTTAGCTTGTGGTTTTTGATACTTAAGAGCTTGTGAAAGCATCATTGAATTTTTGAGAAGAAAAAAAAGAAAAAGAAAAAAAAGAAATTGTGAAAGCATCATTGATAATTCATGTCTGCACTGAAAAAAGCAATGATTTATTTATATTTGTTGTCAATGGTGCAAACACTTTATGTATGTGTGTATTAATTTTCTGGATGTCTTCTTTTAGAGTTTGCATTTCGCATTTCTGTAGTGTAAAAATTGAATATTATGTGTTATTTTTCTCTAACCAGTACAACATACATTTTCCATTCATATTGGTAAGTGTACTAAAGTGCTTAGTATCTTTTAGTTCCCTGTTGCTTAATTTTGTATGTTTGTTAGAATGTTTCATTACTATATCTTACAAGGTAAGCTCATAAAATATTTTCTGATAAAATGCAGGAGTGTGTTTTCCAATGGGAAAGGGAATGTATCGTGTTGTTAATATACCGGAAGATGAAGCCGTTCTTTTGAATTCCAGAGAGAAGGCACCTTACTTGATCTGTGTTGAAGTCTTGAAAAGTGAAACACTAAGGTAATTATGTGGATATGTCAAGGGCACACCCCAGCAGCTTAGGTCCCATTCCCCCAATAAAGAGGCTCAAGGTTGGGGGCTTTTCCCAAACTAAGCTCCTATATTAATTTATTTCTCAAACTAAGCCTACTTTTGCGGAAATTCTCAAACTAAGCTGAAGCGTGTTTACAAAACACTCTTTCAACATTTTTGTGGTCCAGGTAGACAAAATAAACAAAATAATGAAAACGTGTTTACAAAACGCGCTTTTAATTAAGGTCGCGCGGTTACAAATTGCGCTTGTAATAAAACGTAAAAGCGTGTTTTCAAAACACGCTTTCAACAAAAAAAATAAAAATAATTAGCCGTCTATCTGCCTTGCCTAACTTGCTCAAAACTGATCATCCTAACATGCAAGCAATGGGTTTCAAGCAATGACAGATGTATGCTCTACATAACTGCTACTGTTGAACATGATGAGATTGGGCATTGTTATTCTATTTTAAAAATTAGATTTATTTTTTAAATCCAAGGATATGATAATCTATTAAAATATTTAATATAATTTTCTCTCATATCTTTTTTAATCATCAATCAATTATTTCACTTATATATTATTGAGTCTAAAAAGTTAATCTAAAAAATTGACTTATATATCATTTTTTATTGTGCTTAAAAGACACAGTTTTATCTTTTTTTTTTTTTTATGTTCTTACTATATTTTTTGGCATCATAAATTACACTTTGCCCTAAACCTTTTTTTATTGAAAGCATGTTTAGGCCAAAGTATAATTTATGATGCCAAAAACCATAGTAAGAACATAAAAAAAGAAAATAAAACTGTGTCGTTTTAAGCACAATAAAAAATGATATATAAGTCAATTTTTTAGATTAACTTTTTAGACTCAATAATATATAAGTGAAAGAATTGATTGATGATTAAAATGATATGAGAGAAAATTATATTAAATATTTTAATTGATTATCATATCATTAGATTTAAAAAATAAGTCAATTTTTAGATTAACTTTTTAGACTCAATAATATATAAGTGAAATAATTGATTGATGATTAAAAAAGATATGAGAGAAAATTATATTAAATATTTTAATTGATTATTATATCATTGGATTTAAAAAATAAATCTAATTTTTAAAACAGAATAACAATGCTCAATCTCATCATGTTCAACAGTAGCAGTTATGGTAGAGCATACATCTTGCTTGAAACCCATTGCTTGCATGTTAGGATGATCAGTTCTGAGCAGGTTAGGCAAGACAGATAGACGCTAATTATTTTTTTTTTGTTGAACATACATCTTACGTTTAGAGCATACATCTTACGTTTTATTACAAGCGCGATTTGTAACCATGCGACCTTAATTAAAAGTACGTTTTGTAAACACGTTTTCATGATTTTATTTATTTTGTCTGCCTGGACCACAAAAATGTTGAATGCGTGTTTTGTAAACACGCTTCAGCTTAGTTTGAGAATTTCTGCAAAAGTAAGCTTAGTTTGGGAAATAAATTAGTATAGGGGTTTAGTTTGGGAAAACCCCCTCAAGTTTGAGCCCCCTTATCTTACCTTTAAAAGAAATGTGGATTGACAAATTTATAACTAAAAGTAGGGGAAATTACCAAACCCTAACTTTTTAATTGTTTCAATTTAAACCCTCAACTTTGAAAAAGGTATCAATTGTAACCATTTGTTAGTTATAACTAACAGAACATGGGCAATCTAATCACTTTTTGTTGGTGGTGCTGCTGGACAGCGGCAGTGGCTATGGATTGGGAAAGAAAGGAGAGGGATCATAGTGAGTTGGGGAAGGGGAGGAGTAGCAGTGGATGGGAAAAAGGGGATGAGGGAGCGGGTGTAAGTTATGATGGCAGGGTTGGGGAAAGAGCGGAGGGGCGATGGACACGATAAGTTGGGAGGTGGCTGTCAAGTGGTTAAATTGTCTAAATTGCCTCTTTTCCGTTAGTTATAACAAACGGATACAAACAAATGGTTAGAATTGATATCATTTTAAAAATTCAGGGTTTATTGGGGATTGGCCGGGCTTTGATCCAGACACCTTAGTGCCAATCAAAAAAATAAAATAAAATAAAATAAAAAATTCAAGGTTTAAATTGAAACAAGTAAGCAGTAGGGTTTGATTTGTTACCGAGGTCAAATCTTGGGTTTATTTATTTTTTATTTTATAATTTCCCTTTAAAAGTTCGATGATTGTTGTAATAGATTCTCTTTGCAAGATGATGCGGAATAATACCTCTTGCTTTTTTTTCTTCTTCTTTTAAGTAGCAATACAAAGGATGTGTCAAATACTCAGAAGCTTTCTAAAGGAGGAATTCCGTTAGCAAACGGGGATGCACTATTGCCGAAGCCCCCCCCTTGGGCTTATCCTTTGGGGACTACACAGGATATGTACCGTAGTGGTTATGATAGGATGTCAAGCTCAACTTCTCAAGCAATTGATCAGGCAATGACTCAGTTGTGGGAGGCCAAAGTGAAATTTGTTCACGTAAGTCTTTCTGTGGAGAAGCAGTTGCCTTGTCAGGCAAAGGTAATGGAAATGCGAAATTCGAATTGTGGCATCCATTCTTGTGGTCTTCAGCCGTTGGAGGTAATATCCAATAGTTGTCAAGGAAGATGTACATGCCATGTATCAAAAGGAGAGCATGGTAGTGATTTGGAATGGGTGAGGGTTGTAATGACAGCAGATCCTGGGGTTAACATGGATGACATAATGGATCAAGGACCACCTCGCAGGAAGGAGCACCGCCGTGTTCCAAGTACGGTAGCTATTGAGGAAGTAAAGGTGAGCCTTTGATGTGGTAGGTTTAGTCATATTGGCATTAGTATTTACTATTAGACTCTGACAGTCATGTTATTTGTCTCTGTTTACATCTGGGGATTTGTCTTTTTCCCATAATACATGATTTTGTTTTATGTGGGTTTGTGCATGTATATAAATACTCTTCATAAAATTCTTTATTATTCTTATGATTTATCAGCCTACACCTTGGGGCTACTATATTGAAGAGTTTCTTATTAATTACTTACATTGACAAGTATTAAAAGTAGACCATGAGGTGCTGTTCTCTGCCTTTCTAAGGTCTAACCTTTCGCTCCCCTACTGAAAAGGGGCCGCTTTGCACCGTTGATAGACTATTTAAGATTCAATTCAAAAGGCCCTACTTAGTTTCACAAGCCTTTGTCATTGTCAGTCAACTAAGTAGGGCCTGAGGCCCCCGTTAACAACTGTGGATATAATATAGTGAAGAAGCAATGAAGCTGTTTGATTTGTGTAGTGTGATGGGTTCTTACATTTTTTATTAATTATGCACTTTGATTTAGTGAATTTATTATTATTATTATTATTATTATTATTACTATTCTTATTTTTGCACTGGTTTAAATGACCAAAAATCCTATTGAAACTACACTCTGAATTACCAACTACTCACAATGAGGTGTGGGCCCCATACCCATATGGATGTGGGGCTCACGCCTCATAGTGAGTATTTGTTAATTTAGTTTCTAGCATATTGGGGTTTCTAGAAAGACTTTTAAATTACTTCCATCTTTTTTAGTTTCTTGATTTTGTCTACTATGGTGGTTGGGGTTTATGACTTTCAGTTGGGTTGCTGAATCCTTTTCTTATTGGTCTTCTCTTTCATGTTAGTACCACTTGAAGAAGTTTGACTCCCCATGTAGAAGTTGATTGTTAAATGTGTTTGGTGTAACTGACCTGTGGTAGTAGGGTTTTTAAACTTCCAGTGTGGTAAGTAAAACCCTTTTTGATTGTTCCACTATCATCCTCATGTTAGTAGAACTTAAGAGGTTGTCCCCAACCATTTGATGTTTCATATTTGCAAAATAGTTTTTAACAGCAGGGGTGCATTCATGTCTTATAAATTAGTAGCCTATTTATTTTAGTTTATTTGTTCAGTACAACAATTGTTGAGGTTCTTACCCCATGGAAGTATGGATAGGATTAGGGGGATAAGCAATATCATGGAATGATGGATAGGATCATATAGGGTAGGATAAAGGGTGGAAGAGGAGAGGTGGATGGAGGGAGGGACATAATCCCATGTCCTGGGATTAGATCCCATGGGTGTCGTTTTAGTTTTCTATCCTCCAATTTAGCCCACCATATGGGGGGATAAGAAATTTTGAGGGCCCAATCTCCAGACAAAAAAAATGAAACAAAAAATGGACTAATGACATGGGGGAGACAACTGGGTCCCAGCTCAGAGTTAGTAGATATATATTTAAAAGAATCACATTAATTTGGAGCTCTTTTTTGAGCTTTTTGAAATGTAGCATTTCTCTTAATAAAAGCGGGTAGGATTTGTATGGATGGTGTGTATTAGACTGTTTTTGGCCATTTAGTGGGATATAACTGGATGTTTGAAATGAAAGTTTAGGAAGTTTGGATTTTCTCCTTATCAATAGGAAAATGATTGTGCTTTGGGTGCCAAAATATTTTTCTTTTCAGTGGTAGGTGCTTTCCTAGTTGAATCTAATTTTGGTTTGTCTTCACTATTTTCTGTTTTTTTTTTTTTTTTGGGTAAGTACAGTATAGTATTAACAGGATGTTAAAGGAGGGTCACCCCTATACATTACAGATATACACAACAAAATAAGTAAAAATAAAAGATAAACTGAAATCCTCCTCAAAAATAAACAGCAAACCCTCTCTAAAGACTTTCTTAAAAAATCATTGTAGAAAAAAGAAGAGTCAGAGGCTTCTCCTTTATTATAAAATGAACAGAGAGAAGAAGTAAGGTTAGCATTAGTGTGGTTCACATGGTTTTTAATTTTTTTTTGGCTCAAAAAGCTAAAAATGTATGGAAAATGTCTTTTTAGTTGCTGTTTTAGTTTTGCAAGTGTTTTTTTTTTTTTTTTAATTATTATTTTTTTATTTATTTATTTTTTTTTGGGGGGGGGGGGGGGGGGGGGGGGGGAATGACAATGTTGTCTTTTACTAGTTTTTAAAAACTTTTTTGGCTTTTTAATTATAGTGATATTTATGTTGATGTTTTCCTTTACAGTTGCATTTCCCCCCCTCCTATTTGACCTCTACATTTATTTTACTTATCAAAAAAAAAAAGTTGTTTTCTAACTGGTTCCTTGTACCTCATTTCTGAAACTCATGTCCAGATGCTCTTCTTCTCTTCTTTTTCTTTCTCTCTCTTTATTATTTTTTTTAACACTTGCTGAATTGTCTCCGCGATGTATTAGAATTCCTTTTTTTTTTTTTTTTTTTGGTTTTTTGTTGTATTCAAGATACTGGTTTACTATAGGGAACTTTAATTTAAGTACTTGTTTGTAGATGAAGGTTGATTTTATTTTCTTATTAGAAATTACTAATTGGTTACAGTGATGTTACTGCTCTAGTAACTTTTATGTCCAAATATGCTTCCCATAAATTTCTGTCGTTTTGTTTATTTATTTAGATTCATATCTATTTATATACATATTTTGGGAGGAATATTGTTTCTTCTTTCAACAATTGGCCTAATTCTTAGAGTGGCTATATATCCCCTCATATGTAAATTTAATCTCATTTCTAGTTACAATCTAAGAAGCTTGGACACTTCTAAAAAGGTTGTGTCTCGTGTCGGATACTGACACGACACGACATTCCTCCGGCACTTCTCGACAACTTTCGGTCACAATTCCAACATGTCCTCCTATTGCTTGAAATTTTCTAGACTTGGACACGCTTCAGACACTTGGTAAACGTGTCTATCGTTTAGTCACATGAAACACATTACAAGTTTGAATAAAATAACTTGGTATCCAATGATAAAAGAAAAACAATATAGATTTATACATATTGTTCTCCTTTGGACTTTAGAATTAGACTTTAGAAGTTAGTATTACATTGCATTTTGTTATTATATTAGAATTAAATATTTATAACCATGACATGACATATATTATCCTTATATATGATTTATAATAAATATGCAAAACTAGGGAAATTGAGGATACCGGTTTTAAATTGTATTATAGTGGTAAGGATAGACGCAGGAATGTGGTAGGAATCATAATTGCCAAGGGTCTTGTGGAGAATGTAGTGGCGGTCATTAGGATAGGGGATAGGATTTTGTTAGTTAAACTTGTTATTAGAGGGAATATAGTGAACGTTATTAGTGCATACGCCCCTCAAGTAGGATTAGTTGTTTAGAGTAAGAGAGATTTTTGGGAGCATATGGATGAGATTTTACAGGAGAAACCTGGAGAGAACCTGGTTATAGGTGGAGATTTTAATGGTCATGTAGGCATAGATAAACTAAGTTATGAAAGGGTGCATGGTGGATACGGTTTTGGTGACAGAAATGAGGCTGGAGAGAGTATCTTAGATTTTGCGTTGGCTTCTGACCTGGTGGTGGCCAATACTATGTATAAGAAGAGGGAGGGACATTTGATAACCTTTAAGAGTGAGTCAGTTAAGAGTCAAACAGATTACTTCTTAGTGAGAAAAGTGGACCGCCTAAAGTGCAATGATTGTAAGGTGATTCTTGGAGAGAGCCTGATCTCTCAACATAGGATTTTTGTACTAGATTTATATTTTAGAGGGTAATACCAAGTTAGGAAGCATGGTAGGCGTTGTAGGACAAGATAGTGGGACCTAAAAGGGGATAAATTAGAAATATTTAAGAATAGAATAGATAAGCAAGGTACTTGGGACTTGGAAGATGATGCTAACACTATGTGGAACTCGATGGCCATCTGTAGGAGGAGAATATCAAGGGAAGTACTTGGAGAGTCGAAAGGAATGGGACCCAGCTCTAGGGAAACTTGGTGGTGAAGGGAAGAGGTTCAAGCTGTAGTTATGGCAAAAAAAGAGTGCTTTAAAAAGTGGTAGAAGGATAAAACTGAGGAAAACCGTAAGAGCTATAGATTGGCTAATAAGGAGGTCAAGAAAGTAGTGAGAGAGGCTAAGTTGAAAGTTTATGATGACCTATACACTAGACCAGATAGTAAGGAGGGAGAGAAAGGGTATACAAACTCGCTAAAATAAGGGAGAGGAAAACAAGAGACTTTAATCAAGTTAAGTGCATCAAGAGTGAGAATTCTAAAGTATTGGTGAAGGATGAAGAGATTAAGGAAAGATGGAAGAACTATTTTGAGAAACTATTGAATGAGGAACATGGAAGTACGGCAATATGGGAAGAAATAGCTAGTAATACGATAAACCAAGACTATAGGTTCTATCGTAGGATTAGGAACTCTAAAGTGGAGATTGCACTTAAGAAGATGAAATCAAATAAGGCTTTGGGACCCGATGATATCCCTATTGAAGCTTGGAAGTGTTTGGGTAAAAAGGGGGTTGCTTGGTTGACTAGGTTGTTTAGTAAAATTTTGTTGACTAGGAACATGTCAGATGAGTGGAGGAAGAGTATTTTAGTGCGAATCTATAAGAATAAAGAAGATATCTAAAATTGCAACAACAATAGAGGAATTAAGCTAATGTGTCATATAATGAAAGTGTGAGAGAGGGTGATGAAACGCTGATTGCGAGACATAATAGAAGTGTCAGAGAATCAATTTGGGTTTATGTTTGACAGGACAACAATGGAAGCGATCTATCTTTTGAGGAGAGTAATAGAAAAGTATAGAGAAAAGAAAAGAGACATTCATATGGTGTTTATCGACCTTAAGAAAGCATATGATAGAATGTCCCGGGATATAATATGGTGGGTGTTAGAGAAGAAAGGGATGACAAAAGGTTACATTGATGTGATTAGGGACATATATGAAGGGGTGGTGACCACTATTAGATCGCCTGCTGGAGAGACAAATGAATTTCCTATCACTATAGGGTTACACCAAGGATTTACCTTAAGTCCTTATCTTTTTACTTTAGTTATAGATGACTTGACGAGAAATATTCAGGATGACGTGTTGTGGTGTATGCTTTTTGTAGACGATATCATGCTAGTAGATAAGACTAGAGAAGGAGTTAACATAAAGTTAGAGATTTTGAGAAAAACTCTTGAATCTAAGGGTTTCCGGATAAGCAGAACTAAGACAGAGTACATGGAGTGTAAATTTAGTAACAGTAACAATGAAAGCAAAGGAGAAGTGAAGATTGAGAACCAAGAACTGTCTAAGAGTGAACATTTTCGTTATTTAGGGTCGATTATCACAACAGCGGGGCAGATTGATGCGGATGTAGCCCATGGGATTAAAGCGGGATGGTGTAAGTGGAGAAGTGTGTCTGGGGTACTGTGCGATAAACAAATATCCACTAGATTAAAAGGTAAGTTCTATAGAATGGCTGTTAGACCAGCGATGTTGAATGGGACGGAATGTTGGGCAACCAAGAAACAACATGTAGATAAGATGAGTGTGGCCGAGATGAGGATGCTAAGGTGGATGTGTGGCAAGACTAGACAAGACAGAATTAGGAATGAGTGTATTCGGGAATGGGTAGGAGTGGCACCGATAGAAGATAAGTTGAGAGAGAATCGATTGAGATGGTTTAGTCATATTCAACAGAGACCAACAGAGGCGGTGGTGAAGAGATACGATGCTATAACGGTAGATGGAAGTGTTAGGGGATGGGGTAGGCCTAGATTAACGTTGGTTAGCGTTGTAAATAGAGATTTGGATCTACTTAATTTGACTAACGATATGGCCTTTGATAAGGCCGTGTGGAGAAGAATGATTTATGTAGCCGACCCCATTTGATGGGACTTAAAGCTTGGTTTGATTTATGCAAAACTATATATTTTGTGTTCCTCATGTGTTGTGTCCTATATTCTTTTAAAATTTCCATGTCGTGGTGTCTGTGTCGTGTTGTGTCCATGTTGTGTCATGTGCCCATGCTTCTGAGGTTGCATTCATTGATGCTCATTTGTGTGGATCCACTGTATTTAATAGTCCGTTGAGTTAATGTGGTCGTATTTCGTGAAACAGATTTCCTTGTCTATATCTATATATTTTTTCATTTAATAATTTTTCAGCTCATGCATTGCCTTTGAATTGGGAGTTGAGGTGTTCATTTTCTGCAGGCTGCAACATTAAAGGGAGAAGCACCAGCTGGCCTCCCTCTGAAAGGGCCTGGTCAGGATTCATCAGACGCACAACCAAAGGTGAGCCCCTGTTGAAAGTTGGAATATCTTTTGTTTTGCTTTAACGTTTTATGTTGAGTCTGACAGATTGGTCTCATTCAAAACAGGTTACGAATGGTGGTGTCCCCAAAGCTGCTGATGCATTATCTGGTGAACTTTGGGAGGTAAAGAAAGAGAGAATACGGAAAGCTTCGGTTCATGGAAAATTACCTGGTTGGGACTTGCGCTCCGTAAGTTGTGCATTTATGAACCTTTCCCTTTTCTTTTTTCCCAAAACCTTTCACAACAAATGACCTGTACTCCAACGAATGACAAAGACTCACCACTGACCCATAAGTATAATAGGTGTGCTGCCATATATGAGAATTCCTGCCACTAAGAAGAAATAAGTCGAAGAAGAAGAGAAGGGTTGTGATCGTTGGCGTTCTATCCATCATCGTTGTCGTCATTGCTTTTTATTGTAATGGCTGCGTCAGATCTAGATGTGTTGGTCTATGGATGTAGATCATTAGGACTTGGGTTGAACTTAGGTTAGGTTTTGGGTTTGGACTTCGCTTCGATTTTAGGAAGTGGATTGGGTGTTATTTGAGCTGGTAAGACTGTTTTATTTGTGGGTTTGGGCTCTAGGTTAATTTCAGTGATTCCCTCTAGGTTTAGTTTCAGTGATGGGCCTGGGCTGTTTAATTAAAATGGAAAAGGGTCAAGAAGAAAGTGCATTGGGTCAAGGGAGAAGTGGGCCATTTCCTACCTTCAACCAGTAACAAAACGCTACCAATGACCATACGATAAATCAATGATGACGCTAGTGACTATTGACAACAAGGTAATGAGGGACAACTATTCTCGATCAAGGAAAAATCTTCTCTTGGTTGAAAGCTTCAAGGACACACTTCTGGTTCATGTTGGTCTTCAAACAACTATGGTTTCATCTCCTCGACCTCGCTTTCATACCATGTTAGGCATTAGAGATTGCAAAGAAGAAAAAGAGGAGAATTTGATAGAAAGTCCAACAACTCATTGTTAGTTTGTCTCTGAATATATGTAACAACCAATAAATAGACAAAAAATGCAGAACTTTGTCAATATAGAGGTAAGATGACTTAACAAAAAGTTCACTTAGTTTCATGGAACTTAAACTATAGGGAAAAAAAAATCTATTTTACCCCTTTTTAGTTTTAGCCTAGGGCAGTTTACCTAACTCACATTTAAATATATACAAAAATGCCCGTGGTTTTGACCCATCATGCACTTTACCTGCCCGCCTTTATTAATTCTGTCTAAACTAACAAAAATTGAGTTCCACATGCCAAATTTGAAAGTTAGGATGAAAAACAAAAAATTCGAAGTGAAATGTTACTACACAGATAATTTTATCCTTTCATCTACTTCTTCCCCAACTACAAATCCTAACCTTAACTCACCCACCCCTCCCACCACCACCTTAGCCATCACTGTTCGCCACCTTCTCTCTACCTCAGCCACCATCGTTCGCCACCTCCACCCACCATTGCCTGCTCTCCATAGCCCCTTGACCACCCTTGCCAGGCCCTCTTTCCTTCCCCCACCTCGATAATCTTCCAACCTTCTATAAAAAATAAAAAAATAAAAAGCAAATAGGAGCCAGATCGATTGGGGGCAGTGATGTTTGGGCCACTTTCCATGGGTTTGAGGCAGTGGTGTTTGTGCTGACAGTGGGTGTGCCCATTGTGCAACCCACTATGCAAAATATGTATATATATGTATAATTTAATACTAGCTGGACTCTAAAATTTGATCATATTATGGGGGTGTTTGGCAAAGGCTTTTTTTGGCTTTTTGGGCTAAAATCCACAAAATGACAAAATAGGCTAAAATAGCCAATATGACAAAATGTCACATCAAACCTATAGTCATTTCACTTTTTCTCTCACAAACATCACATCCAACTACAAAAAAATCCAACTATCTTTCCAAACATAAAAAATTTTAGCCTACTAAAATAGTAACTTCCCAAACACCCACTATATTTGTATGGTTTGCTTAGGAATAAAATGCTAAAGCCAAGTCATGAGTGCATGGACCGAACTCTATTACTTTGTTTCATTATTTTTTCATGTGCTAGGGAACTTAATTACTACAAAGGTTGTGATTAAGCAATATCTTCGCTCAGTTGTTCCTATTTATCTTGTAATGTATTTTATTTGACAAATTTGATCTCACTAGAGGGGGAAGAGAGAGCATATGGGTTTCTCGATACAAGGGAGGAGAGGGAGTAGTGTAGTGGTAAGTTGTGGTTGACAATAGTGGGTGTCTATAATGGTGGCTATTATTGCGTGTTGGCGTTCACTGTTAGTTGAGAGAGGTGTCGCGAGGGGTTGAAGAGAGTGGTATGGTGGCGGCTAGTGGCTATGGCTTGTTGTGGTGGGTGTCTCCGGCGGTGGTTGATTGCTATGGTGCCAAGTGGAGGTGGCTAGGGGTGGGTGGTAGTGGTTCGGTGGTCAATAAGTTTGTAGAGGCTTAGAGTGCGAAGGAGAATGGGGAAATGAGGGAGAACAGAGGAGGATATTATGGGTATTTGTGGTAATTTTACCCTATGTTACCAGAAAACGTTAATACCCTAGCGATTTACGTATTGGTATGTGCGTTCCAAAACATGGTACACTTTTATTCCAAAACAGTAAATTTAGTGGTCCAAAGTGATCCCAAAAGTTTTTTCCAATATATTTCTTTAAATGTTACCTTAGGAGGAAAAAAAATCAAATATATGAACTAAAATCTAATGTGAGTTAAGTATTGACAAGGCAAAAAAATAAAAAAATGGGTCATAATTTTCATAGAAATGACTTGTTACATGATTTTTTTTTTTTTGATACCTACTAGTTAAAAGAAAATTACTCTAGAAGTATCTTAAATTTTTAAGTGTAATATATATAAGTCTACTCTTATCATACTACATTTGAGAACATATAGTGTACCATATTCCTGTTCCCGTACCAGAACAATCCATGTTTTAGGTAATATAGATTTTACCATCTCAACACATGGTGTTATTGGCATTGGCTGTCTATGTAATTTCAAAGAATAGAGGGGGTGCTAGTGTAATTTCAATAGAATACTAGGGTGTCACTGTAATTTACCCTATAAAATAAGGGTGATCTAGAGCACAAGATTCCCACTAAAATGAGGTTTAGGGAGGGCAAGATGTACACATCCTTATCCCTATTTCTAGAGAGGTGATTTATGTGGCTTATACTTGTGCCACCAGGGACAGTAACAACAAGCCTTATTGTGGGCCAAGTTTCCCTTTTATTCTTATGTTTATGTATAAAAATATATTTTATATTATTGTTGTGTCATGTTCTGATTTATTTGTTTTTAAATTATTGTGTCTCAGTGTGTTCATATTATGTACTATTCATGTCTCGTGTCCATATTCTTGTTTCTTAAAAAGAAATTGTATTACATAGACTCAAGTACGAGTATACGTGTCCAATTGATCTAATTTCCATGTCCAAGGACATGGGAACATGTCGAATTATTCATATTTTTGAAGTTACTTCTTTTATTTTCTATACTAAAATTGTGTTCACAAGGTTCCGTAGAGCATTTTTTGATTAAGTTAGTGAGGACTTGATTGAGTTTTCAACTACATACCCCTAGTCAACTTGCAAAAAACGGATGTAATTCTTTCTAAGACTCATCGATTTTACGAATCTTTTAGTAGTGTCAACAATTTATTTTCTTTGAATGTTAAACCTTGATGCAAGTGGTATTGTATTTTCTAGATTAAAAAAAATGGTACTTGATGTTCAGGATGAGAACTGGTCTGTTGTTTTTCGTTATTTTGCTACATCTCATGTAACTGTTGATGATAACCTTTGGCGTTATCTCTATTCTAATGTTTCATTTGATGTATACTGATTATGCATTTTCTGGTTACTGTGCATTATATTGATTTTGGCACTGCTGATTCAGTTTTTGTCTTTGTTCTTGCATAGGTTATTGTGAAGAGTGGTGATGATTGTAGGCAGGAGCATCTTGCTGTGCAACTTATTTCTCACTTTTATGGTAGGTGACTTTGTTTCTCTTAACTAGTTTGTTAGGTATTGACTTTTTAGGTTTTGAAGGCTTTTGGTGATTTTATAGTATTTTCCTTACTTATGTGGTGGTGAGAACTCTTGGCAACTTCGTGGCTAAATGTTGTCGACAAAGTCGCATGGGACAAGGAGTTCTTGTTATGTATGTTTCAGATTTACTCAATCTGCTACTGACGCAAGCACTGTTAACTGTACTTGATGTTTTACTGTGCTAGTCATTTGGCCCATGCACTTGTCAGTGGTGATGGAATAATCTTGATTGGGTCCTTATATTATTACTGTTAAAATTGATATTTTATTGATTGATTGATGTTGTTACAAGATTGATGTAATCTATTACAATTCAGAGTAGCTCATTATATAGGAGAGGGTTTGGGTAGTAGGTGAGGAGTAGGTGAGGGTAAATTGGTGGTGGTAGGTGTAGGTAAATTCTAACAGCCCCCCGCAAACTCAAGGAGGATAGAAACTAACCAACTTGAGTTTGAAGAGAGGAACAAAACAAGAAAATACATAAAAATAAAAAAGGATAGGAGACACTGTATGGTCGTGTCAGACCATTGGTGAAGACACTGTATGGGGGTGTCATAACCATGTAGAAGACAGTTTATGGGGTCATGTCGGACCGTTGTAGAAGACAATGTTGTGACAGTTTACGGAGTCTTGCTGGACCCTTGTAGAAACTAACCGGAATCTATGTCGGGACAGTTGACAGAGTCTTGTCGGACCCATGTAGAAATTAACCAGAGAGAGAGAGAGAGAGGGCTTGATGGAGCTACTGTTGCAGTGACCGATTCAGTTGTGATGTCGAAGAGGCTGGATCGACGGCGACGCCGATGGAGGTTGCTTCGCCGGAGGAAGTAGTTCTGAGACGGACGAGCGACTGGGGGTGAACGGCCTCGTCGGCGGAGGCTTAACCGCTGTCACCGCAGGCAACGTCGGCGACGTTGGAGTCGTCCTGACACTGAGGTTGTTCAACGTCGGCGACGTTGGAGTCGTCCTGACACTGAGGTTGTTCGTATTGCGACAGAATGGTCATACTGACGCTCTTACTCATCGGATCAACCTGGACTCGGACGCCGAACAGCATGAGCCGGAGTTGCAGTCGGAGATGTGGCCGAAGGTGAGAGAGGCTTGTGAGCAAGCACTGGGTAGCAAAAGAAGGCACCAAGATGGTGATAAGGAATCGAACGGAGGAGAGAGTGGTTGCCATCCGTGAGGAGTGAAGGTATGTGTAAAAAAAAATTCTAGCGGACTAGGTTGAGGTCCGGCGGGCAGCTAAGGTGAGGTTGCCGCCCGCCGGGAAAGCGAAAATATCAGGTTCTAAACCTGCTCTGATACCATGTCATCCCCTCCTAGAAATAGAAGCTGCATCATTTTGTTTGTTTGTTTTATTGGTTCATCAATATTTTCACTAAGACAGTTTTATTTATTTATTGATAAAAGAGATAGAAAGAAGAAATAAAATTTGTTGACGTCAGTGTTATTAAAGGCCCGCCTAGGCATGTGCCTAGGCCCAAGGCTCATCAAGGTGTGGTTAGTGCGCTTCAGAATGCCTTAGGCCAGGTGATGTAAAACAGACCCCATAAAGGATCATGAAGCATGCCCTTTGGGCTTAAGGCTCAACGCGCACAACTTTTGTGCTTCTTTTAACATATTTGTTTATTACAATTACAACCCTTGATTCACTTTTTTTCCCCCTCCCTTGATTTGATTTAATTTCATTTTTTTTAATGTGCAGCTACAAGGGATTAAACTCTTAAACATACATTGCAACCAAACACTTTTTTTAGCCCTAATTATACAAAGACGTTGGTTGGATAGAGCTTTCTCTTTGACCAGACTAACAGTTGTTATTCTTCTTTTTCATCTCCTCAATCTTCTTTTTCTTCTCTTTCTCCTTCTCTTTGCTTATCTTGTAAGACACTTCGATTTCGTTGCTATTTTTCAAATTATGGTTTGCGTTAGATGTTTGTGTTTATGTGCAATCTTGAATTATTTGTTTACGATAACCAGTGGTGTTTTTCAGTATTTATGTTTTAAAATATTTAATATTACATTTTACTTATGTTGAACCTTAAATTATTTGCTTATGTTAAATTATCTATTTTTATTGTCAACATGAGCCTCGTTTCGATGAAGCTCGCGCCTCGCCTTGCACCTAGGCCTTAGGAAACCTTGGTGCTTCAGTGTGCCTATTGCCTTTAATAACACTGGTTAATGTTGAGTGCTCGAGTTTTTTTAGAGATTCAATCATATTGAGGAAGATGATCCCTAGGACCACAAAGAAAATAGAAAAAGATTTTCTAAAAATTATAATTAATTAATTATTTTTTCTTACAAAGCCTTTGAGCATCCCAATCTTTATAAGGTTAGCAAAATCAAAATCCCTCCCCTTGTGCTACTCTTTTTTCTCTCCTTTCATTCTGGTGAATGATATTAAACTTGTTATTTATGGGGAAAAATATATTATTTTATTTATTTTTTAAATGTTCATTTCATCACTAGTGCTTTAAAGATTTGTGCGTATGTGTGTCTATAGGTTCAAGAAGATAAGTTAACTTGAGGATTGTATTACTGCATTGTTCTCCATCTTGAACCCCCCTGCTGCATTATGGTGTGATTAATTTAGATGTTAGTGTGATAGCCTTTTCAGACTCTTTATCTCATGGCTAAGAGCCAACTATATTAGTTCTATGAGAATGACTTACTCTTATTTTGCAGCCAAAGGTATCAATTATTGTTTCTTTTCCCTTCAATACTATCTCAAATTTGCAAGAACAGTAATCAAATTCATCATGTTTATATATAATTGTAGAACCTCTTAGTATTTGCTTCTTGATGGTTAACAGATTTGGCCACTGTTTTTAATGCCAGATATATTCCAGGAAGCTGGTCTCCCTCTCTGGTTGCGCCCTAATGAAGTACTAGTTACTTCTTCTTACACAGCACTCATTGAAACGATTACTGATACGGTAATTCTATACTCTTTATTATTTATTTATTTATTTATTTTTTTGGCAGTGCACTTAAAATGAAAAATCTATGGTATTATAATGATAAAGCATATTTGTTTTGTTGTAGGCTTCACTTCACTCTATCAAAAGTAGATTTCCCAACATCACAAGTTTACGCGACTTTTTTGTTGCCAAATATCTGGAAAATTCTCCTAGTTTTAAGCTTGCCCAGGTAAATGAATTTGAAATGAAGCAGATGTCTTTAACTTCTGTAGCCATAAGAACGCATCTTCTTTGCATATGTACAGCAACTGCCTTGCCTGCTGAGTAAATCTTACTATTAAGATCTTCTTTTGCCTTATTACCGTTCCACCCTGTTTTATTCCCCCCCTCTCCCCCCTCCCTTCCTTAAAGAAGAATTATTTTGTTAATTCTTTCGTATATTTTAATTTTTAAAAGATTTATTGTTGTTATATTTAATGAAACAAATGTGTTAATCTGGGGACCTAAGAAATAAATCTGTGTAGTTTGTAATTAAATGGAGAAGAGTACCACTCACTTCCCTGCGGTTTAGACCTATGTTACCAAAAAACGGTAATACCCTAGCGAATTACGTATTGGTACACACAATCCAAAATATGGTACACTTCCGTTCCAAAACGGTAAATTTAGCGATCTAAAACGATTCCAAAAGTTTTTCCAATAAATTTCCTTAAATGTATGTTTCCTTGGGAGGAAAAAATCAAATATAGTGAATTAAAATCTAAAGTAAGTTAAGTTTTGACAAGAAAAAACATAAAAAATGAGTCATAATACTCATAGAAATGTTTTGTTGCATGAAGAAGAAAAACTAAATTTTATTAGATGCCTACTAGTTAAAAGAAAATTACTTTAAAAGTACCTTAAATTCGCAAGTATATTATATGTACAAGTCTACCCCTATCGTACCACATTTTAGAGCATGTGGTGTACCACGTTCCCTGTACTGGAGCGATCACGTTCCAGGTAACATAGGTTTAGACATCTGGAAAGTACACATTTCTTAGTATTCTAGTTTATTTACATGGTAGGTGTGGATATGCACTTTTAATATCATTTCATTTGTACTCAATGTGGGGTCCATGAAGATATGTTGTCAAAATCTATTTGTGTTAATTAAATTTCAATGCAAATCATTGTTTCGGTAATGTGTTAGGATGATAATAGGTTACCCAAGAGAAAGCAAGTAAAACTAGACAGTAATGTTGATCAATAATGTGAGAACCAAAATTAACGAGCATAATAAATGATATATACTAAAATTTAAGATCCAATTTCCAACCAACAAGACATGAATAAAATAAACTATGTATGTGATGCAGATTATGTAAAATTCATGCAGTAATACCATTCGAAGTATCCTTATGTTGAACCTAATAATCTTTAGTAGAACTTCTATGTATTATTTTGCTTGTTAAAAGAACTTTTGGGTATGTTTGATGTGAAAATAGATCAGAAAGAAATTTTTCTAAACAATCTTAAGTCTCCCAAACGTCATAGCTAAAGTGATGAGATAAGGTTCTTAGTGCTTTTAGGGAAGTTGAAACTTTAGGGGATGCTAAAGAGTAAAGAGGTGTAGACTTGCGGATCTTATTGCCTAAGCTCTTCTTCACTCCCAAGCATGGAGGCAGCTGACAACTAAGCTTGTAAACATTCTAAACTCCATTGCCTTTTTTGGGGCAACATTTATGAGGGTCTTGGATAGTTGAGATTAAAAGATCCTTCAATAAGACCTCTTAGCACAGTATTTGTATGGCATATATTCACTTTTTCCCCGTACAAATTCAATGATCGGATTAAAATTTTTTAGAAACAAAACAAATCAGTGGCAACACAATAATTTGATTTTTCGCCCCTGATTGCACAAGAATCTCCTAAAATTTAGCTTATTTTGTTTATAATTCAGTCTTATAATTTTCGTGTTTTTGAGTGTGGAAATTGAGATCTTGATTTTTTTTCTGGAAATGGATTTTAACATCCAGTTTTGACTGGTTAATTCTTGTCGCAGAGGAACTTTGTTGAAAGTATGGCTGGCTATTCCCTAGTTTGCTACCTTCTCCAGGTCTCTCTCTCTCTCTCTCTCTCTCTCAACACAATAATTGTGATGTACATGACAGTTCTGTAAAATAAAAATCTGTGAAGACATACATACACAAGGCACATGCATTATATGATGACCTTCCTTACTATTATATTTCTCTTTTTTGGTGGGTTATTTTTATGTTTTGGTGTTTTGGGGGACAGGATGAATTCTACTGCTTGGCGTTCTTATGCTTCTCATAATTTGTTATTTTTATTTATCGATTTATTTATTTATTTTGGGTGGGGAAGTGTGTTGTTTGTAGCTTCAAATGTTGTTTGTTGTTTTTTCCCCCCTCGTATTTTTGTGTTTCTAAAATAGGGAAATAACTTGCAATTTTTAGTGCACTTGGAAGGAAAATTTTCTTTGATGACGTCACCAGCAGGAGTCTTGATTATCCATTTGGTTGGACATTAACGTAGGTATTGTACACAGTTTTCTTGAACAAAGGCCCCGTTTGGATGGCAGAGATGAAAATTAGAAATGAAATCTTATTACCTATGAAGCATAGACACAGGACATGGATACGACATGACACGGATCCGCTGACGGCAAATTCCAAAAAGTAGAACATGGACACAATTTGGATACACTACAAATAATTTTATCTAGAAATATATTATATTCTATAGTCATTGATGTGGATGATATATATAAAATTAAACAATTACTTTATTCTAAGTAAATCTTGTATTTGATTCTTTTACATGAATTTTTAGACTACGAGACCTTGGTAGTTGAAGATCAGACAAACTGTAGCGAACATTATATAATTGCAAGATTTCACTCATACTCCTAAGCATTTGCTAATACATTTACATATCTTTTTCATTTTTCATCAAGTTTATGTGAAACTTCTATAGGGTTATTTTTAATATTAAACATTTTTTTAAGGGTATAAGATATTTATATCAAATTCTCAAACTTATAAATCACGTGTTAGCAAATGTCCAAGAAGTGTTGGTCTCATGCTTATTTTTAATTGATAGACATGGGTCCAAGAAGTGATGGACACGCCACAAAATGTGTCGAACACTTGTCCGAAATGATGATTTTTATTTTTAAGGGTAAATTACAAATACATCCCCTGTGGTTTACTTAAAAAAAGGATGGCCCTTTGTAGTTTGGAAAATTACAAATACCCCATTGTAAGAATTTTTTATTTAACAAAATTAATTGAGAAAATAAAATTCCTGACTACTCTCCTATACAATAATAAAATTACCTGAATTATTAATTGAAATATATTTCTGATATCATTAAAAAAATTTAATTGACTTGATGATTTATTGATAAAATGGGCTATTTGTTATGACATTAGAAACTTCAAGGGGTAGGATATAATTTCCATAACCACAAGGGGCAATTCGTATTTTAAGCAAACTTTAACGGGTGTATTTGTAATTTACCCTATTTATTTTATTTTATTTTATTTAATTATGGACACAGAAAAAGAGTATTGAACATGTGTCCAAGGAGTGTCGGTGTCTGACGTGGGACATGCCAATTTCTTAGCAGTGTCCATGCTTCTTAGCTTATTACTAGGAATGGAATGGCTAGTTGTGTCATTCTATTCAATCGTTTGGATAAGGTAGAAGGTTTGTCCCAAAAACAATATATATTTTGATTTTAATGTAGTTATGGTTTTAAAAAAAAAAAGAAAGGACAACTAAGTTGATAAAATGGGCCATTTGTTATTACATAAGAAATTTCAAGGGGCAAGATGTAATTTTCAGAACCACAAGGGGCAATTCGTATTTTAAGCAAATTTTAAGGGGTGTATTTGTAATTTACCCTTTTTTTTTAAAAATTTGGACACGGAAAAAGAGTATTGAACATGTGTCCAAGGAGTGTCGGTGTCTGACATGTGTCCGACATGGGACATGCCAATTTCTAAGTAGTGTCCGTGCTTCTTAGCTTATTACTAGGAATGGGATGGCTAGTTGTGTCATTCAATTCAATTGTTTGGATAAGGAAGAAGTTTTGTCCCAAAAACAATATATATTTTGATTTTAATGTAGTTATGGTTTAAAGAAAAAAATAAGGACAAATAAGTTGCGGAAGACGCCAATCTCTATTAGACTCAAGTATTTAATAAAATGTAACCAGTAGTTCTTTTATTATTATGGTATTCTAATAATATTTTTAATAATTCTTATATTAGTTAATTAACATTCCATAAATTTAGGAATAGATTAAAAAAAAGGATTTTGTTAATGTGTGCCCTTACGGCACATGCTAAGTTGTTTAAAAGGGTTGTACATTCTGCATGAAAGTGCATGTAATAAAGAATGTACAATCTTGTAAGCATTCTTAACATGTGCCCTAAGGGCAAGCGTTGACAATACCCCAAAAAAATATGACTTTAAGATGATGTAGTATGATTTAGAGTAGATATTGTGCTAGGTGGCTTAGTTGGTCTTTAGTCTATAAATAAGTGACTCTAATGAAAGTCGTTCCCTTATTTTTGCTTCATCAGATGTGCTTGTGAGTTCCTTTGTATCCATTTTCTCGCATTAACAGAAAAGGGGATTATCATTCCTTCATGTCAAGATAATGCAATCCTGGGGTTTTGTTAGTGAAGAGAAAATGGATACATAGGCATTCACAAGAAAAACCACAAAGCCTACACCCTTATGTACATAGGTCTTGTTAAAAAGCCTGAGTTTGCTTGTGGCTGTCTAGATGGCTTCCTTTTGCTCATACTTTGGACCCTACTTGAACAACTGATTATCGTCCATACTTTCAACCGAAGAAACATACATATTGTTCAAAATCAACGACAAAAATATCAATTGGACAATCAGCTGTTTGCTTGAGTGGTATCTCTTGCAACTCCCAAGGTGGAAGTGTAGGGTTCAATCCCCAGTTGGAAATGTGGGTAGAGATGCATTGTTGAACTTTGTTCAAAAAAAGGTAAAGATATTCAAATAGCCTCTGTATTTAGCAGAGCCCACTCAGAATAATTGAGGGTCCTACAAAATTTTAGATGAACACAAAATGGCTTCAAATTTATGGCAGTGGATTTGAGATGATATTACAAATCTTCATTCCAACCATTTCTTTCAATCATTTTCATTTTTTTATTTTATGAAAGAATTTGAGTTACTGCACCCAAGCTCATTGATAGTTTGACAGCTCTAGTGCTTCGCTTTCTATTTGATAGTCAGTGTTTAGTTTGGAAGTATGGTGACTTTCAGTGAAGTCCTTTTCAAGAAGAGTTTCTACAAAAGCATCTTGGTAATACTTATCCAAGAAGTACTTGGGTCCCTATTCTCTGACATGTCAAAGTGCTTTTGATGTGTAGCCAAAAATGCATCAAAGAACTTTGAAAGTTAAGAAGTGCTTTTGATTCAGCCCACTGCCACAGCCTTTGAATTGCTTTTGAGATGGTTGGTTCTTGCTGTGAACTTGTGTTTTTATTATCTTTTTTGGGTCCATCACTTGATGGGAGTTAAATATAACTTTGTTTTGTGAGGTGGAGTTCTCATTAGTTTAGTTTATTGGGTGAATATCATTAGTTAAGTTGAAGCATAATTTAGAGCTTTTCTTTGCAAGAACAAAGATGGTTTAGGGGATGGTTCATTTTATTTTATTTAATGAATGGGTTGAGATCATGATTTGGTGTTATTTTACTTATACATTGTACCGCTGATGTGCAATGAGCTATGCCTCTCTTCATTTATACATATATATATATTTTAAGTAAAATTTTCTATTCGATATGAAAGATGAGATGAATTGTCTAATACGTGCAGTTAATTTTGTGCATTTGCATCGATTGGTAAGTTTTTATTCAAATTTTATCTTTTGGACCACTTTGTGTGTGTGTGTGTGTGTGAGAGAGAGAGAGAGAGAGAGAGAGAGAGAGAGATTATGATCTAACATTGATAGTAAATCCATGAATGCATGAGTTTTTGACCTTAAGTCCAGCTCGAAATCGCTTGTTCCTAGCTAGAATGTAATTGTAATAGAGAGAGAGAGAGAGAGAGAGAGAGAGATTATGATCTAACATTGACAGTAAATCCATGAATGCATGAGTTTTTGACCTTAATTCCAGCTCGAAATTGCTTGTTCCTAGCTAGAATGTAATTGTAATAGAAACTTGTCAATTTCTATTTAATAGTTTGTAAAAATGTATTGGGTCCTATGTTACTTGGAACATGGATTGTTATAGTACATAGAACAGGAATTAGAATATGGTATGTGTTAAAACCTATCACCTCCTTAAGTCCAGCTCGAAATCGCTTGTTCCTAGCTAGAATGTAATTGTAATAGAAACTTGTCAATTTCTATTTAATAGTTTGTAAAAATGTATTGGGTCCTATGTTACTTGGAACATGGATTGTTATAGTACATAGAACAGGAATTAGAATATGGTATGCGTATGCTGTCCTAAACTGTAGTACAATAGATGTAGACTTGTATTATTGTATAGATTATACTATTAGAATTCAAGTTACTTGTAGATCAATTTTATTTTAACAACCAGACACCTAATAAAGTATAGTATATTTTAACAATTAGTGATCCAATAAAATATACTATATACATATATAGTAACATTTGCTGTCCGTTTGGTTAGAAGCATGGTTATCAGAATCCCGATCCGGATCTTACGATCCTACGATCTTACGATCCATTTGAGTGCAATCGATCCGGATCGTGTAAAAAACTCCTTATAGGTAGGATCTTTCGATCCTGGTAGTGGGATCTTATAGGATCGTGGAATCCCGAACCGAATCCGATCCTATCCGATCTAATTTACAAGCCTTGTTTTGTATTGTATGACATATTTTGTTGTAAATTTTATATTTGTTGTCTAAATATCAATTTATGTTCTCAAAATAAATAATAAAAATTAAGTAGTTTTGAATCAAATAGACTAAGAAAAACAAACTAGGAAACAAACATTCAAATATTGCGGTAATTTAAAAAAAATTAAATAATCGAAAAAACAAACTTAGCTTTAGCGGAGTCTCAGGAGGGTAAGATGATTGCAAATTTATCTCAATTTTTGGAGAGATTATTTTTGTGACTTGAATCTGCTCCACCAGGGATGCTAACGACAAACCTTATCATTCGACTAAGCTACTCTTTTGAGTTCTTAATCTATTTTCATATCCAATTTTGTTAAATATTTTTTCTTCACTTTTTATGCATTATTGTACATTGTAAAGTATTTTGTTATAGAATTCTTCTTCTTCTTCACCTTCTTTTTTGATAAAATACAGAACTTTTACCATCGAGTTTTCTATTGCATAATATTATATGTACATTTTACATGGAGTATTATATTTTTCACAATATCTTCACTTCTTTTTAATAAAATATAGGTTCATTTTGTGTGTACTTTATAAGAAATATTTATTTAAATTAAATTATTATGTAATTTGTCTTTTTCGGTAGGATCTTACGATCCTCGATCCGATTCTACGATCCGATCCTATAAACACCTCCAACGATCCAACGTAGGATCCCGATTTTAACAACCTTGGTTAGAAGGCAAATTATGGTGGAAATGAAGTGAAACAAAAGAAAAGAAAGATTTTTTCTTTTTTTTTTTGCATGGATTAGGATGAAAATTTTGCAAGTGATTGAAAAATTTAGCTTTGTAATTTGAAAAGCATGAAAGTTGCAAGAAAATTCTTATACCTAATTGACCTTATTTATTTTAAACAAGTGGAGGGAATCATGGGCAAATCTACAAAATGATAATTGTTCTCCCCATTTTCACAGGAAAATTTTGTGGGAACTCAAATTTGAGTTTAAAAGCTTAACGCTGTGTTTGGTTAGGGGATTTGGGCAGGGATTTGGAAAGGGAAAGGGAAAGGGAAAAGGTGTGTGAAACTAGGTGAAATGTAGGTATATTTTATTCACATTTTACCTACCTTTTCCTTTTCCCTTTCCAAATCTTTTCCCAAATCCTCTAACCAAACACAGCGTTAGGGAGTTGTATGAGAAATTTCACTTTTCAACACTGTCTATGACTGTCATGCTAAACAAACACCAAAACAGTTTAGATTTCCCCGCTCTTTCTTGCATTTTTCCTCACTATCTCACTAATCAAACAGACCCTTCAAGAAACAAATAGGAAAAAAATTTGGAATCACTCTAGGTCGCTAAATTCACTTAGCATATTCCACTCCGTGCATTTCAAACGTATATTGCTAGCTTATTAGCATTTTCTAGTAACATTGATTGGACTAATGGCCCAAAGGTTATTCTATAAAATTGGCACTTTTGATGGATTGTTTTCTTTTGTATTTGTGTTTTCATAGTTCTTTTTTGTTGTCTAGGTGAAGGATCGACATAATGGAAATCTTTTGTTGGATGAAGAAGGTCATATCATACACATTGATTTTGGCTTCATGCTCTCTAATTCACCTGGCGGTGTCAATTTTGAGAGTGCACCATTTAAATTAACAAGGGAACTTCTTGAGGTAAGCAATTATGTTGTGAAATCTTTCGGAAAAAAGTATGCCCAGTTTAGTCGCAATCCGATGTGGGTCTGGGAGGGAGTAGATTGAATACAGACCTAACATTTGACATTATTTGCACAAAGTTTGAACCTGCAACCTCAAGATTGACAATCTGAGTTTAAATTACTGAACTTGTAGCCTCCTGTTTTGGGAAACAAATAATAATTTCTTGTTTAATCATTTATTCAAGGGCTTCTAGCTTTAATCCTTAAATTCTTATCAGCATTTTTATTTATTTATTTATTATTCTTTAATTGATTGAAACATCGAGATGTTGTTAGGTCATGGATTCTGATGCTGAGGGCATTCCAAGCGAGTTCTTTGACTATTTTAAGGTATTGATGAGTATTTCTTGCCTTGGTTAGCTTTTCACTATTCAGACGTCAAACAATCTTGTGTTATTTGAAGGGCTTATTTGGTGCTTGTGTTATTTGAAGGGCTTATTTGGTGTTTATCCTATATATTCAGGTTCTATGCATTCAAGGTTTCCTAACATGTCGTAAGCATGCAGAGCGCATAATTCTTCTTGTTGAGATGTTGCAGGTAAACCAAGTGACATGTTTATATGCCCATTTCATTGCTTTTCAGTTATTGCTCATTTTATACCAAACCAAACTAGGCCTTGTGTTCCAATCAAAATGGGATGGTGGGAGGTAGGGTGGTTGCAAAGAGGGCTGCCAGAAAAGTGTGGGGGGCTGCTGGAAGTGAGAGGGGCTGCTGGAGTAAGATGTACTGGAGGTTTGGGTTCAAAAAGGAGGGGTAAAGTTGGGATTAAGGTGGGGGTCTAAATAAAAAGGGGGAGTTCTACTTGCACCACAATTTGGTCTCCTTACATCGATTTTCTCATTACAATCAATCAAAATTTTAGGGTAATTCTATTCTCACACCATCGTTTATCTCAGTACACACCATTTGTGTCATTCGGATATCAACTTTCGAACAAAAATAAAATGTTCGAATATTAACTTCTCAACAAAAATCAATTATTCGAACAAAAATCTTGTTTGATAGTTGATATCCGAGCATTTGTATCTTTTTTGGAAGTAGATATCCGAACATTTGTATTTTGTTCGAAAGTTGATTTTCGAATGATATAAATGGTCTGTACTTAGACAATGTTTGGTGTGCAAATAGAATCACACAAAATTTTACTCTCTTTACACTTTCCAATATACCAATTTTACCCCCTCTTCAACCTCACCTTCTCTACTTACACCCATTTTCATCTTCTCTGTGTCTGCTCCACTTTTCTTTTCTTCTTTCTGCCATTGTTGCCGCTGGCCACCACTGTCACCACCTCCTCCTCCACCTCTAACCACCACCCTGTGACCACCACTCCGCAGTCACCCCATTGCCATGACTACCTCCTTCATAGCCATCGAGCCACTGCGACCACCATTGTCTCGACCATAGCCAACACTGCGATCTATTCCCTAGCCCTCCCGTTGCCACGATCTGCTTCCCAATTGCTCCCGTTGCTGCGATCGCCTCCCCCAGTAAGCTACCCTTCCACACAGAGAGAGACAGAGAGAGAGATAGATCTAGGGTTTGGAGGAGGAGAAAGAAGAAAGAAGAATGAGAGGAAGAGAAAGTAGTTGTGGTAGTGGGGAGGGAAGAAGGGCTAGGATGGCAGCGGAGCGAGCGGAGGGAAGCGGTGATGAGTGGCAGTGGTGGTAGTCTGGTGAAAATGGTGGGTGAAATGAGAAATTAGGGTTTGTGTTTTTAAGGTTTGAGGATTTTTTTAGTAATTTTAGTTAGGGTTAAAACAGCAATATATTTTTTTGAAAATTTTAGGGTGTAATAAGGTAGAATGGTAGTGTAAGTAGAATTACCCTAAAAAGAGGTGGGTAGTCATTTAGGCTGCGTGGGGGTCCAAAGAAATTTGGTGGGGGCTTTTAGCGGCACTCATAACTAATGGGGGCAACATTTGTGCTCCAGGAAAGACTCCTAGGAGAACTCTAGTCTTGGAATGTTGACATTCTAATAAAAAAGAATAAATAATTTTCAGAAACACTATTCCACTCTCCAAATTCAGCTAGTGCCAATCAAGATTAAGAAAATACAAACTTCTTTACCAAAGACCTACAACTTAGAAAAAGAGCCTTGGTCTCTAAAATTATTGAGATTTTTCACTGGAATCTAAACATGTTTGTAATTGTAATGGACTTTAATTCCCTTTCTTGTGGTTTTTGCATCACAAAGCTCACCCATTGCATAGGTTACCGATATATGTTGTTGGGTTTACCGCAATGGAAATTAACATATCAAACAATTCCAATTAGATACTCTTATGTAGTGTAGTGACTTTTTATTTCTCATATATTGAGAAAGAATTGTAAATTTTTGGCAATCTAATCTGTTCTACTGTATTCACTCGGAGGAAGATATGAAACAAAGTCATACCAATGAACTTCAAAATAGTTTTAATTTATAATTATTGAAGTTAAGGCTCATGGTTATGCTTTTATTTATCCCTACAAAAGTTTACAGTATTGAGTGGCATCGCTGGGGTTTTATGTGTTGGATGTTTATCATCATATGTATTACATACATCAGTGTCTTTTTCTTGTGTAATAGATAGAAGTAATAATTGGTTAGGTTATATCATTACATACAACCCATGATTGGCTCAAGGTACTTGTTTTTCTAATGTTTTCGACCAGGACTCTGGTTTCCCATGTTTTAAAGGTGGGCCTCGGACGATTCAGAACCTAAGGAAACGATTTCATCTAAGTCTAACGGAAGAGGTTTGATTTCATCCAATCTTTTCAATAAGCAGTACTTTTAAAAAGAGTAAATTATGCAAATGGTCTCTGTAGTTTACTTAATGTGTCAATTGAGTCCCTATTATTTTAATTTGCTCGATTTTGTCCCTCAATTTAATGGATTATGTTATATTAGTCCAATAAATAACGGCTGTTAGGTTTGGTGCACGGAAAGTGAAACGATGTGTCAATTTGGTTCCTGTAGTTTACACGATGTGTCAATTTGGTCCCTGTCAAAATCAAGCAAATTAAAACAATAGGGACCAAATTGACACAGCGTGTAAAATACAAGGACCAAATTGGCACATCGTTTGAGCACGTGACAACTTTCCGTCCACCAAACCTAACAGCCGTTATTTATTGGACTAATACGACACAATCTGTTAAATTAAGGGGCAAAATTGAACAAATTAAAACAACAGGGACCAAATTGACACATCGTGTAAACTATAGGGACCATTTGCATGATTTACTCTTTAAAAAATAATAACTCTTTAATACCGTGCGGCATCATTATACTTGTATGGTTAACATGTTTGTATCTGGTGATTTCTGGCAGCAATGTGTGTCCTTGGTGCTTTCTTTGATCAGTAGCAGCTTAGATGCATGGCGGACACGACAATATGATTATTATCAAAGGGTATTGAATGGGATATTGTGAGACTAGATTGATTTCCTCTGCATGATTGTTCACTTGGAAAAGCCTGTTACTGAATCTCTTCATTAAGAATTGCATCGGAGTGCTGTGTGATAAAAAAGAGCAGTTTTTTTTATTAATGGATGGGGCGTCACCAATTTTGTCAGGGTTAAAAAGGACTACTGATAGCAGTTTGGCCTGTCTTTTTATTAGCGCGAGGAATTTTTGTAATTTTAACGGCAGAAATAACTTGGTGTGGTCTACCAGGCAAAAACCAGTGCAGCATAAGTTCTTTTTTCCTTTTTTTTTTTTCTTTTTTTCTTTTCCCTTACATTTTCTTTGTTCTTCTCTTCTCCTTTCAAGAAAGAGGAATGCTTATGGATGAAGGGGAATTTCTCATTTTTTAACTTGAAGGAAGATATGCTTGTTGCCCTTTCTCATATTTGGGTAGCACATACTGTACAGTGTGATTCCAATGAGGAAAAGGATTAGATATGCAAGAAGGCTTTTGGATGTTATGATTAATGGCATTTGTTACAGTCGGTCAGTTGTTTGAAGCAGCAAAATACGGGTCAGTTAGTATATCCACCTCCGACAGGCACGCACATGTTGGGGCTTAATTCATCAATACTTCCATTGGAGTTTGCAAAGTGGTTATAAACAACAATTGATTGTATGTGTATAACATATTTTCATTGATCACAGTTCATTTTACGGTGCAATTTTTTCTTTTGGTGCTTGCGTTAGTGTGGACGTTTGGTGGTATTGATTTTGTGATATAATACCCATTTTGTATCATATATATCCTGGTGTGGAAGTTATTATGCCCACTTGGGGTGTGCATAATATATACCTAGCTAGAGTGCCTATGGTCTTCTTTCTCATTCTTTGAGCTTTAAATTTGATGCTACAATGTTCAATTATATACTTGATAGCCTTCGTAATTTATAGATTCAGCTTTTGTTATTTTTGGTAACCAAATCTAGTTTGCTATTTGGTCACTGAATGGTGGTGCCATATTGTTCTGTTATTTTGTCTCTGATGAAATCCCAGGAAGGATGGGATTATCCTTCTTGCTTTAATCTTACATCATGATGAGATGATAATTGTATGCTTTATTTATTGTTTATATTGGCATAATCTATAACCATTATATAAATAACCCAAATCCATTGCTGCTAGTGCATGGAGTTCACCCTTCTATCCCTGCCCAACTACTCAAAATCCGAACGTGCCCCCTCTTGAAAAGATCTACCACGCGTTGTTGTGAATCTAACGCTTGATATGCCATATATACCCTTCATCGCAATGGATGTAATTTCACAACTACCATGGTTTCCATGTGTTTGCACTGGGGCAGATGTGATGGTGTGTAACCGAATGGGATGCCAACCCAAAATTGCCATGTATCAACCTAGAGGGTGCCTTTGGGCGGTAATCATATCTCCTTCACAGCCTAATATGCACGTATGCATCTTTGGTATATCACCATGTTGGATATCTGCCACCTATGTGTTGCTAGGAAAATTGGTTTTGAAATCATATTTTTCGGAAATTTTGAGCTAATATTTTTGAAGGATCCACACATCCTTTTAGGTGGATCCAAGTGGTAGCATGCATCCAAAGTGAGTCATGAATTAGTTAGTAAAATGAAGTTCTCAAAAGTTGATGGTTTGTCATTGTCCCACATTGGAAACTTAGAACATTTTTTTGTGTTTGTAAGTACGAAGGTTGGCTTTTCGTATTGGGCCTCTGGGGTCCAAATTTTGTGAGGAGAATTATGAATTCACACTTACGCCGGTTGGGTTTTATGTATAATATATTGTTGAATTTTTATAGAATATATATAATATTTATACAACCTATGATAGTTTCTATTATATATAATATAGTTTTAATATTTTTACAATATATAATATATTTTCTTAATTATAAATATCATCTTGTTGATATATTACAATATATAATATATTTTCTTAATTATAAATATCATCTTGTTGATATATTATTTTAAAATTTTTATTATGTTGCGTATCGAGCAAGGTCGGGGTAAGGTTTAGATTGGGGTGGGGGTGGGTTATGGGGGCCAGACCCATATCCAACCCATTGCCATTCCAACATCGCCCCACCCCGCACCAAACTGAGTTGGTTGTGGGTTGGGTTGGGTCAATCAAAATAATTGTTTGCGGGAAAAATTTTAAATTTTCCTAGTCAAAATGTTTTGGGCACCCTCTCTTCTCCGATTACACATGATTTTTCAGCGTCTCTCTGCATGATCGGATGCGACTGTTTCTTGCATCTTTTCTGCATATTCGAACAGGTTCTTCCTCGCCCATATAAAGGCGGTACCCCTATTCATTTTATTCATTGAATTGATTCCAGCAGAATCATCTTCCTCTTTCTCCCTCATTCGTTTGCATCAAAGAGTCTGAGTTTTCGTGAGAGTGCTCTTTTTGTTTGTGGTGATCATTGTATCCGGAGGCAAGATGTCTAACATTTGCAAGCACCTAGGCAAGACTGAATTTCTGCCTTATACGTGACCAAGTCAATAGTGGATCGATCACATAAGAGTCATATGCCCATATGACTAACATAAAAGACAGAAATAAATAATAATAATAATAATAAATTACTAACCCATCGAAGTGCAGAACTGCAATGAAAAATGCCTTATTACCCTCAGGTTTTTCTACTTGCTTGGAAGAACTCTCGACTTGTCTCCACATGAATTCCTCAGAGACTAGACTCAAACGAAAAGGTGCTAGACAATGCACAAAGGTGCATTGTATAAAGATGCCAGATAGCCTGGATTTCTCCAAGTGCTAGAGTAATCTTATGAATTTAGAAAAATACATTCTTGAACCCAAATCATAAACTTAAACAAAATTTGAATGAAAAATACTAAAGGTGAAGGGGAATTTATATAGCCACTTGTAGAAGGAATTTTTTGTTCCAATAACCATGTGAGATCACACAAAATTGGATATAGATAATATCGATTGCGCAACCAAGGGTAAAAGGGCCAAAAATTGCCGTCTCGAAAAACTAGGGAACAGAGTTGATCCGGCCATGGGGAGGGCTGGTTTGGCCTGCCCTTCGCCGAGAAAATTAGGCCCATGGCTGGTTCGTCCATGTGTGGGGTGTGTGCCTTTCTTGTGTTTTCTTACAAACCCTAGGCGTTGGAAAGTATTTTAAATCAGATTTTGGGCTTGGGCATTTTTTTGTTGAAATTTGGTCCATTAAAATAATAAAATAGACCCAAAATAAAATAAAAAAACAAGTTTGGTCCAAGTTTGGCTTGTAGTTTTTGTGAAAAAACCATTTTATCCTTGTCGAAAATTGACGAACGATCAAAAACTGTCTACTAAAACTTCATTTGAAATTGTATTTTGACAAATATTATGTCATCAAAAAGCTTTTTCAAAATGTTGTAGGCTAGCGTAGACCATTTTTGACAATTCTAAAGTGTTTTACATAAAAATGACGTGCAGTAGACAATACTCTTTTCCGAACTTGTACAAGGTCAAGAGATAATAGAGAGGAATTGGACAATGGAGATCCAATGTGGTTAGGGGTGTTCGCAGTTTGACGGTTTGGTTGTGGCTAAATGAACCTCAAATTCGTCATCCGTCCAAAATTAGGCGGATTGGAAAAAATCAATCCGCAATCGTCCGCTCGTCATCACGCATCCGTCTAAAATGCGGCGGATCGGATCGGTTCGGTTCGATCGGTTTGAATGGATCGGTATATCCGATGCTCACCCCTAAATGTGGTTCAAATTGGCTATGAATAAGTTTTCAAGGGTGTTAGAATGAACTAAGATTAGCCATGGTGCATTCAATTCCCGACTAGGGCTGACAAACTGGGAGTTTTCAATCATTTTCTAGTACATCATAGGGTAGTGTTCCTCAAGCGGGGCCAAGCATTATAGTCAATCAAAATGGGGTGTCTATACTATCATTATAAGCCAGATAATTTGAAAGGTTGTTGCCAATTTGGGTTGACAATCCTTTGTTTTAGACATGATGGACTAGGTGATGCAGGCCATATGCTCATGATGTAAGATCCTTATGGATTGTTTTAGAGATTCCTTGGTTTGTCATAAATGATTTACATAAAGAATATCCTATAATAATTCTTGATGCAAATTTGCAAATCTATTGACTTACCTATTGGTAAAAATTAGAGCTTGAGCCATTGACATGAATCCTAAGACTATCTCAGAGAATCAAATGGCCTATATTCTTAGATTTTGTGTTGTAGGTTGTCTAAAGTATGCTATGGAGTGTATTTGGCATGATGAGAGTTACTTTATTGTGGATGGTCAATTAAGAGTAGTTCTAACCTTGACTTTGCTTATTAGATGTAGTCTAGAGGATATTATACTAGCATAGAGAGATTGCAAATAGATACTCTACTGAATGTGTACAAATTTGGTCCTTGTTAGATTCATTTGCGCTTGTTGGATGCACCTTGAATGAATGCAAATTGGTCAATAAGAAAATCTTTAGAGAGGTAGTTGCACAATAAGTAGTGATTCTGAACTACTTCATGTGAGGCGAACATGGAAGATTCCTTTGTATATGCTATGCAAGAAGTGCTGATTTGGCCTATGTTTACAATCTAGAATTGCGCAATGTTTTTCCAGTTGATTGCTTGATTTAATGATGGGATATTGATGCTATTCTATTACTATGATTCGTGGCATAATAATTAGCAAATGATGATGTCAACATGCAAGATTAGCTTACTTACACGAGCAATCGGCCTTGGTGCTAAATAGCGAACAAGGATAAGAATAGTGTTTTATCTTCCTTAGGAGCCAAGAGAGGCTTACAATACTCACTATCTATGTCACCTTAGTTGGAGACAAGAAGAGGCCATGCTAGAGACTGAACATGGATGTTGGTATCCGTTTATGATGTTGTTCCTGTTATGATTAGCTAGATGTGAGATTTCATATGGTGCTTAGAAAGTGAGTAAATAGAGAATTTGGGTTAGGTGCTAGAAAGCAATTTGTGCAATTAAGAGCGACTAGACTAAGATTTGTATGGTGTTTGGAGTATGACATCACTCTTTGGAAGAGTAACTCCATCGTAGCATGTATTCATACTACATTTGCTTGTCGACCAAGTAATGAGGTGAGAGAATGGATCCCTATTTTCTCATCGTATGAATCTTACATGTCATTTTTTGTATGACTTTCACTTTGTACCTTTTATGACCTTTGACAATGTCATAAAGTGAGGGGTTGATGTTAGCTACTTTGATATGTTGCTTGCAGTCATGTATGATTCAGCCTTAAGAAACATCATTGGAAAATAGATCAATTCCAAACTTAGTGGCATGAGGGCAAATGAAAGATCTTCTAATATTGCACCTCTGTTGTATATTCAATACTGGCAACTCAAATCGCTCTATATGAAAGGCGAATTGAGTGTGAATATATTGCATGATATAAGAAGATCAAGCATGCTCTATGAGGAGTTAGAGATGCTTGAACCGATGTAACTATATGGGTCTAGGGTATATGAGACACTTCTTTTATTTTTTGGTTAATATGTTAGCTCATTTTTGAATTTCTAGTATAGAGCTCCCACATATAGATGTTCTTAGTGGTCGCAAGATCCATTGGCAAATATGCGTTGTTTGATGTTTGGATGGAGATAGAGATGTGGCAATGTCATGCTAACCCATATGCAAGTGAAAGATGTTGGAAATCTGGTTGGTTTTAGACCTAGGTTTAGGCACGCATGGTGACATGAGTTGGTTTGAATTTTGAATCACATTATCTTAGGAATGTGTAGATAATCGACTACCTCATCTTATGAGAAGATAAGAGTTGTGGGTGGTTTCATCTCTTGTATCTATATTACAGATACGTATTATGTTTTATGGGTAACCAAAAAATCTCTTTACTTTCTCTCTCTAACTCTGTGCCATTAGAGAACTAA